CAGCATTTGTTGCCAACAACATGAGGCTTCCACATCTAATACCATTCATCAGCTTGCCAATGATATTATCAACTTCCCCAACTCAGGGGACTCATGCAGAGTTGCTATACCACCAAATGAGTCTGCTACTACTATTGATTACTCAGCTCACCATACCAGTGTTGAATTGGAACAAGCTGCACATTTGTCTCCAACAGTACAGTCTGAAGCTACACAGCAATTGAAATTGTTTGTGGATTTGTCCTGTGATAACATGGTGATCACAGATGATAGTATTCCTCCTACACAACCTATTCACACTTTTAATGCCTTCTAAGCTCTGACACATGTTTAAGAGGATGAGGTTGAGTTGGATAGCAATGCAGCTGCTGAAGACAGTGACAATGAAGAGAACTCAGAATCCAATTCTAACTTTGAACCCCATGATCCCACTTTCTCTCCTATCCTTGACAAAGCACTCAAGACTAGGAAACCATCTAATGGTAAACACTCAAAAATCAGCAAAAAGGTTAAGCTGTCAAAGCCCTGTTTGGCCAATGTTTCTACCCTTAAGGGGTTTAGGGGGTTGTGTAAGCTTACTAGCTCATCTCAATGAACTGGGGAGCATGGAATATAAGAGGGCTGAACTATTCCCTCAAGCAAGTAAAGGTTAAAAAGTTGATTATTGATAATGATCTTAGTCTCTTAGCTCTTTTGGAGACTAAAGTTGGAAGTGATAATATGGAGGATATCTACAAGTCTGTTGCCCCTTCATGGCATATCAAATGTAACTACTCTCATTCTATTTTGGGTAGAGTATAGGTGCTATGGAACCCAAATAGAATTCAGCTTATAGACACCTCTCAGAATAGTCAAGTTATTAACTGCACAATTTGGATCAATAAGTTGAAAATGAAGTGTCTAGCATCATTTATCTATGCAACAAACACTGCCGGTGAAATATGCAACTATGGAGAAGTATTAATCAGCACAGTGATCCTGAAACCCCATGGATACTTCTTGGTGACTTTAATGTTTTACTTAATATCAGTGAAATATTTGGAGGAGCTCCTAGATGGACTCAGGGCATGGTTGACTTCAATAACTGTCTGCACAGGAATGGTTTAAAGGATTTGAGGTATTCTGTCATCTACTTTACTTGGACTAACAGTAGCTTTGGCTGTGCCAACATTTCAAGGAAGCTGGACAGGGTTCTAATCAATCAAGCATGGATGGCTATCTTCCCTAGGGTACCAACATTTGGTTGTGAATTTTTACCACATAGCATATCTGACCACTCACCAATAGTGGTTAAGTTTGGTTCACAATCTTTTAAGAGAAATCTTCCCTTCAGGTTCTTTAATTTTTGGACACTAAATGAGAAGTTCCTCGACATTGTTCATCAAGGATGGAGTATTCATATTCGAGGCATAAAAATGTTCTCTGTGGTACAAAGGCTGAGAGCTTTGAAAGGTCCCCTGAAAGCACTGAATAAGAAAGAATTTGGAGCTATCTCCAGAAGAGTTGCAGCCTGCAAAGAGGAATTGGATCATATGCCAAAAAAGCCTTGATATTAATCCTGCTGATGATTTACTAAGAGTCAATGAAAGGGACTTAGCAAGCAAGTATTCAGAATTATGTTTGGCTAAAGAAATGTTTTATAAACAGAAGGCTCAAGTCCATTGGCTGAAGGTTGGGGATCAAAACACTGCATACTTCATGAGGGCTTTCTCATCCAAGTCCAATAAGAGGAAAATTGTTGCAATTGAGGATCCCAATGGTATCTCAGTACAAGGACAAGAACTGCAAAATGAGTTTTTAAGGCACTTTCAAGAGTTTCTTGAACAAAGTTATAGCCAGTATCCAGGTATAAATACCTTCTTTGACCTATTCACCAAGGTGGTTCCATCTCACTTACTATCTCAGCTCACTAAAATACCAACTGACTTGGAAATCAAGAATTGTATTCTATGCTTTCACCCTTACAAGAGCCCGGGACCTGATGGCTTCAATTCCTGCTTCTTTAAACATATTTGGCCTATCATTGGGTCTGAAGTGACTGCTGTAATCAAATATTTTTTCATTTATGGTAGAATACTCTCTGACATTAACTGTTCTTACATAGCACTTATCCCCAAAAAACCAAACCCCTCCACTGTGAATGATTTCAAACCAATTTCATGTTGTAACATCCTTTATAAATGCATATCTAAGCTTTTAGCTTCAAAGCTAAGTACTGCCATTCCCTTCCTCATCTCCCCCTCACAGAATGCATTTATAAAAGATAGACAAATTTCAGATAACATCTTGATGGCTCATGAGCTCCTTAATGGATATCACAAATCATCCCACTCACCTTGCTGTACTCTCAAGATTGATTTGAAAAAAGCCTTTGATTCATTACACTGGCAGTTTATCATTGACTCCCTGCATCTATTTGGCTTTCCCAATCAGCTCATTCATTGGATTGAACAATGTATCACAACTCCCTCTTATTCCATCTCAATGAATGGTGAGCTTTTTGGGTTTTTCAAGGGTAGAAGAGGCATAAGACAAGATGATCTAATTTCACCATTGTTGTTTGTCTTAGCAATGGAAGTCCTATCTCTTGCTATTTCAAAGTCCATCTCTCTGAGTCCATCTTTTAAATACCACTGGAGGTGTAGTAAATTAGGCATCAGATGACATTCTTCTTTTCTCCTATGGTAATGTTGCTTCAGTAGAGGTGCTGTTTTCTGCCTTAAACAAATTCTTACTCATTTCTGGGCTGTCTAGTAACTGCACAAAGAGTCAGGTGTTCTTTGCTGGGATGGACACACAGACTAGAGCAAGCATTCTATCTCTCCTGCAGTTTGAGGTTGGATGTCTACCAATTACTTACCTTGGTTTGCCTTTATCCTCTTCAGCCATCAATGCAACTGATTGTCAAACATTGGTGAATAGAATCACAAAAAGAATTACAATCTGGACTTCACGATTCTTATCTTATGCTGGTAGAGCAGTGCTAATTAGATCCATTCTCTACTCCATCCAAGCTTACTGGACTCAAGCTTTCATACTGCCACAAAAAGTGATTGATTAAATCAATCAAGTTATTAGAAGCTTCTACTGGTCTGGAATTAAACTGAAGAAGGGGGTGCAAAGGTGGCTTGGCCTGCTATTTGTAGACCTAAAGTTAATGGAGGTTTGGGTTTTCCTTGCTTAGAGTTATCAAACAGGGTCTCAAGCCTCAAACACATTTGGAAGCTGTGTGTTAGGAAAGACTCTTTGTGGGTTGCTTGGACTCACAGATACCTCATCAAGAGTTGAAGTTTCTGGACTGTCAAAACTTCAGCTTTAAGCTGTGGATTCTGGAGAAGACTCTTAAAGCTAAGGGGCATGTCAAGGGGTTTAATCAGGCACAAGATTGGCTCAGGTCTGAATACAAGTTTGTGGATTGATTATTGGCTTCCTAATGGACCTATATCATCTCAACTCAATCTCACTGAAGTGGAAATTCTTCAACTAAACTGCCATGTCAAAGTTGATAGCCTAATTTCCAATTTTCAGTGGATGATCCCTCCCTCTTTTCAGCAAAATTCATTCTTCCAATCCCACACCGACCTTCACCAGCAACAGACCTGATTCAATGGTTACCTAGTGCTCAGCAAGGCTACTCTCACAAACTCACCATGAAATACTTCACTCCACCTTCATTCTTGTTTGCATGGTACCATATTGTTTGGTTTAAGCATCATATCCCGAAACATGGACATACAGTGTGGATGGCCATTAAGAATAGACCCTACACTCTTGACTCAAAACCCATGAGAAATAAACATAGAACAAATGCTTGCTTCCTGTGTCTAGCTGATTAGGAGTCTTTGGATCACCTCTTCTTTAAATGTAGCTTTAGTCGTGCCATTTGGAACTTCATTCAAAATGTTGCAGGTTTCTATATATTGCCAAGTTGCTGGTCTAAATTGATTAATTGGTGCTCAAAGTTCTGGAAACATGGTGACTTTACTACTCATAAGCTGCTATTGTCAGCGGCTATTTATTTCATTTGGCAGGAAAAGAACTCAAGGGCATTTAGAAACAAGTCATCCCCCCCTCACATCCTCATCAGAACAATTAGAAATTGTGTTAAGGCAAGACTTGCCTCAATCAAGTTAAGGAGTGAAGACTTAAGGAGAGTTGACACAATGGAGGAGCTTCAACAACTAGTTTAGCAAGGTTGTGCTGTTTCCCTATGACAGCATGACCATTTTCTTTGAAGTTGTGCCCCAACCAAGCTAAGAAGAAGTGAAGCCTTAAAATGAATTGGCGCATTGCAACATTTCCAACAGATGTTGATATCCCGGCAAGGCTGTTATGGTTCCCTTCCTTGGTCTACCAGTACTTTTTCTGTTACTGCAGCCCAGCTAATAGTTGAAGTTGGATGCTTTGCATATGGTATATGGTTGCCGTTTATGCCTCGAGTTCAAGTCCTCAAGGTTTACAATTTGATTTCTGTTTCATTGTTTCATTGTGTGGCAGTGGCTTTTGGCTTGGTCCTTTTTCATTATTGTAATTGTTCCTGTTGCTCTGTGGTCTTTGTTGTACAGTTTTTTCTTCATTTATAAAAGCTTACCCCTTCAAAAAAAAAAAAAAAAAACATTTGCCAGGTATACAAAGTTTATATCCAAGCTTTCCAATAACAAAATAGTTTTACAATGAAATTAAAATCGCTTAAAGTAGGCTTCACATGGCATTTGATAACAGCAATGGTATTGGTACCCTCAATCTCTCAAAACAGCATTCAAACTTTGCATCCACATTAGATGGAGGTGTCTTCAATTAAGGATGTAGACTTATACCTCTAAGACTGCCAATCAAAGTATTTAGACTTCTAAATTATGAAGAAAAAAATATATATTTAGACTTCTATGAAAATAAGAAAAATGTATGTATAAGCTTCGAATATATGAATTACATACCCTTCAATCGGTATAAGCTTCCGCATGGCTGGTGAAGTTGACGTGAGATGATGAGACCAATTTTCATAGGTTGGGGACGTTTCTTGTTCTTTCAGTTTCCAGATTATAATAAAAGAACTTTGAATTGTGATATTGAAATAAAATCTCAACACCACTACCACAAATGGGTTCTATAGGATTCTCCTCTTCAAAAAACATAGGTGGGACATTGAGAGTCTGCTTATTCCAAAGTTGCTTGTCATAGTCTTCTAGTATCCAAATTTCGGTGACCTTAGAATTTATGAGAGCCAAACGATCTCTTACTTGTCTTGCAAAAAAACAATCTCTGGCGGCTCCGTGTGGAAGTGGCATGATCTTGAAACTCTCATCCCCAACTTGGAAAGCCAGTATAACATATTTGCCTGAGCTACCAATATTACCTAAACAATATATAATACCATTGATACAACAGCCTCTATTAATCTCATGTGAGAACCTGTCTAATTGACTATTAACAGAGGACTGATCAATATCAATATCTCTCCAAGTGGAGGCAGCGCCGCCCTGGCTGAGGGTCAAAACCTTGAACTGGGTGTGGGTCGTCTCATCGTCTTCAGAATTATAAACTTCGGTTATGTTGAGGACTTTGTGTTTCCCGCCGGAAGCAGCTGAATCAAACCCTAAAAGGTTGAAGGATACAACTCTCAATGAATCGTCTCCAGTAGAGACAAAAATTGGACTCCTTATCATAATGAGTGGAATTTCATGGATTTCTCTGGTGCTAGGGTTCCATATGCAGCGCTGAAAACAGATCAAGCCCTTGACGGAATACAAAGGAGAAGGCAAAAACTCTGCTGTGACTGGAAGTGATTCGAGTGATTGAAGGTGAAGGACTGACCTGCCTTCTGGATCTGTTGAGTAGAATTGGTTATCCACCTCATATGTTGGTGATTTCACGAATAGAAGGTTGATGCCGCCGGGCCTATTGATTGACCGATTATGGTGGGACTCAACGAAGAGTGGATCGTCAATTATGGAGAGCCAGAGTTTGGAAACACTCCTGAATCTGAATAATATTTTCGCAGGAATTTCTTTCAGTATCTCAAAGATAATCTCTTGCGGAAGAGAAACCACATTGTTTTGTTGCAATTTCTCAGCTTGTGTTCGGATAAGGTCATCAACCATTTCAGTGAATCTACAAAGAGCTTTTGCACTGTTGTCAGGAACAAGACTTGAAAACATCTTCTCCTTGTTTGCATCCAACATCTTCTCCTTCATAGCTCTCTCCAGGTTTTGATTTACAGTGGCTTATGACCTAAGCTTTGTTTGGAATGATAGGATTCCATTGGATTTGATTTTAGGATGGAATTTATGTTGTTTGAAAAGGAAGGAATTCTAATAGGAGCTGGATTTCATCTGATTTGATAGGAAATATCATAGTTGTAACAAATTCGAAAAAAATTGGCCAAATTTCATGGGATTTGTGACAAGATGGTTAACAACTTTTTCAAAGTATCTTAATTTTATCAAAATATCCTCCTCTTTTAACGTATTGTTTTTTCTATAAAAGTGAATATTCCGTGAGTTCTTAGTCATTTCATTGTTTTTGTTTCTCTGTCATCAATCATTCTCTTGTAATATGTAAGACCAGAAAAACTATAACCTTACGCAATACTAATAGCTAATATTAAGGTACTAAATTTAGCAACGATTAATTACGACCAAAAGTTTAACATATACCAAAGGTGAAATAAAATGTGTTAATTACTCTAAATATAAGTTAAAGAGATGAGAGTCCAAGTTAAGGCATTGTCAAGATTATGGTAAATACTTATAAGATAAAAGAAAATTATTTAAGAATGAATTTATATTTGAAAAAAAAAAATATGCAATAGCTGTAGCAAATTTGGATGAATTATCATCTATCTAGTCAAATGACATCCATCTACAAAAGTTTGCATATTTTTTATTAGACAAGAATCATTCTCTTCTAAGTTAGAATATAAATATATATATATATATACACACACACATATATATGGATGGTTATAATGAGATTGTGAGAGCAACTTTCTAGTCATAAAGACAAATCATTGGATTTTATCTCCTCCATAGAAGTAAAAGATGAGCTATCATTGCTTTTTAAACAAAAATCTTAACATGGTAAAGGATTTGCATCTCATTCCCAAACAGTTTGAATTAATTGATAGTCAGACTAGTTTTAAATTATCTATTTTAATATTATAAAATTATATAATTTTATAAAGGATATATTGGTATTTTGGAATAAGAGCTTAGATGGCATTTTGGATCTTAACGATAATTCTTGATGCATTTGTAATTATTTTTTTTTAATTCAATCAAAAAGTGAAAAATTATCATTGCTTTTTAAACAAAAATTTTAACATGGTAAAGGATCTGCATCTCATTCTTGATCCGTTTGAATTAATTGATACTCAGACTAGTTTTAAATTATCTATTTTAATATTATAAAATTATATAATTTTATAAAGGATATTTTGGTATTTTGGAATAAGAGCTTAGTTGGCATTTTGGATCTTAACGATAATTCTTGATGCATTTGTAATTATTTTTCTTAATTCAATCAAAAAGTGAAAAATCAACTTTTCAAATTGATCAATATGTTATTTAGAACCGCTAACTCTATCTACGTTTAATTTTCCCTTTAAAAAATGTCATGAATTTACATAACAAAAATTCCATGGTTTTTTTTTTTCCCTATGATATTATTGTGGGGATTAGTAGATGAAGCAAAATATTCCTGTATTAATTACTATTCTATTTTTGGGTTTTGGAAATGGTTCTTTTTCAGCATTCCCTTCCATTTCTTTCAATTGTTTAGTTCCTTTCCACAGTTCTTTCGCTTGTTTTTTGAGGGTTATTCCCATTGTTTGTTGTAAGAGCTTGTCGTTTTAATTATACATAGCTTGGGGGAAAAATAATAATAATAATAATAAAGCTACTCTTTCATGATTTTTTTTTTTTTTTTTTTTTTCGGATGATATTGGACGTCATAGTTCGAGACACTGAACATGTCTGATACTCTTTGTCACGATTTTTCTATCTTATGTAGATATTATCTGCTCTGTGAACTTGTGCAAAATACAACATCCACAGATATAAATGCCAACAATCTCTTCCCAAAGAGATTTAAAAATGTTATATATAAAATGAAATACATATGCATACACACATTATTATGACATAGCACCACCAATACACAATAAGAGATGAAAAGTACACTATACTACAGACAATATTTGGTAGACTAATTTATTTTCCATGATCATGAATTGAAGCCTCCGAGACATACAAGAGATCTATTTTTCATGCGGCTGGAGGCGAACAGGGACACCATTCACTGGAGTGGGGGATGAGTGATATATTATCTTCTCATTTGCAACTGCTTTCTCCAATTTAAATCTTTTCACCACATTATGCATGAAAACTAGTACTTCTAGTCGAGCATACTCTTTTCCAGGGCACATCCGAGCTCCTCCACCAAAAGGTACAAAAGTGTATGGTGCAGGTCCACTTCCTTCAAACCTTGACGGATCAAATTTTTCCGGATTCGGAAAGTATTGTGGATTTTTATGTGTTGAATGTACTGTCCAAAATGTCTGCCAAAAAAAATTGATTTTGTCCAATAAATAAGCTTCTATGACTTCATCTATATATATATATATATATGTATGTATGTATGTATGTATGTATTTATATGTTCATTTTTTGCATGGAAATTAAAATTGTCCATACCTTCCATCCCTTTGGAATGGTAAAGCCAGCATAGGTGAAATCAGTTATGGCCTCCCTAAAGGCTCCTTGAGCAGGTGGTGTCAGCCTCAATGCTTCACGTGCAACATTCCAAGAATACTTCATCTTCTCAATGTCTTCCCAATTTAGCAACTTTTCGGTGCCTTTGGACTTTGCAATCTCCATTTGTTCTGTGTAAATAAATAAATAAATAAACATAATATATTGAGTAAAAATTAAATCTTTTAGGACAATGTTTACTTAAGTTGTGCTCCACACAACACAGCAAGAGTACAATGGAATAAGAAATTAAATCTTGAAAAACAGGATACTAGCACATCATGAATATGTTGTGAAAAATAACAGAAAAAGAAACAAGAACGAGAGTAAGAGCACACAACTATACTTATATATGTGATTCACCTAAAATTAAATCCGGGTTAGGTCCACAGAATTGTAGGATCTCACTATGATAAAGAGCAAAACAAAATTACAGAATTCAGAATGATAACTACGGTCTCTCACTATTCTTCTATAGAATTAAAGTTACATAACAGGCGTGAGAAATATAATAGAACATTTTTTTTTTCACTAATTTTTACTTTCCATACGAAATACAATAGAACATTTTTTTTTTTTCACTAATTTTTACTTTCCATGCAAGATAAAATAATACTTATTAATAATATATTTTACTCTAGTGTTGCATGTGTACTATCTAACACATCAAGTTTTGAGTATTTACCTTTAAAAACCGCACTATAAACATGGGGAAGCTCTGCAAGATAGTTCAAGACAAAGGTAACAGCAGTACTAGTTGTATCATAGCTTGCAACTAGCAAACCTATGATGTTGTTAGAAATCTCCATTTCATTCATGAACTTGCCATCTTCATCTGTCACCAATAGCATCCGTGACAGCAAGTCTCCGAATGGTGTCTCCTTTTTCTCTGATAGTTCCTTCCTCCGATGCCTGATGATCCCCAAAAGCTCTTCACGAACCATTCTGCCTCCTTTGATGGCGCGATTATAAGCCATGCCGGGAAAATCTATAGGCACGGAAAACAATCCGGACGTAACAAGAGTGAAGGCCTCAGCTAGCCTAGCAACATGCTCAGGATCTTCAATGCTCATAAACAACTTACATGCCAATGCAAAAGTATACTTCTTGAGCATGGGGAAAACCTTTACTTCTCCATGAGGAGCCCATTCGGAGTCCAAGTGTTGGGCTGCCATGGAATCCATGATAGGTATGTAGTGTTTGAGAGCTTCAGGCTTGAGAATTTCATGGAGGAAGCCACGCTTCAGCGCGGTTACTTCTTTCAAAGAATTCTCGACGAAAGAGGGGAAGAGCAAGGCCTTCTTCATCGACTGAGGCCACCAAGAGGTGAGGAGCTTGGTCTCATTGGAGAACAAGAATTTGTTTCCTGAGGCTCCACAGAACACTGCCATTTTTTCTCCCAACAATGAGGTTTGGAACACTTGGGGTGAGTACTTGTTCATTCTATCAGAAATGAATTTTTCTGGTCCTGACAAAGCAAACACTACACTTTCTCCAACTATTGGCCATCCAGCTTTACCTGGTGGAAGCTTTGGGCTGCCATAGTTGCGTTTATATGTGTGAGAGAGAAAGATGAGAGAAAGAGATAGAGAGAGGAGCACAAGGAGCAGTATATATGAAAAAATGGCATCCATACTTCCTCAATTAATTGCCACAAAAACCAATTAATGAAGAGGATGATGGAATTCCTAATTGTGTATACCTCTAGCAATTGAACTTTTAGGTTTAGATCAGTATTTATTGGAAAAAGATAACAATACTTGCCTCCCTCAGGAGACGACTCCATATCACTCTGTGGCACTATAATAAAATGACACATGTTCTCTCTTAAATTTGAATTTTAAAATTTAAAATAAAAGCGTATCATTTATCATTTCTTCACCAATGTGGAGAGGGAGGACTAAGATCCTCTGATTGAGTTGAAAGTTCTGTATGCTATCATAAATTGAATTGTTCAACCCTTACCATGTACTATTTTAAATGAATCTATGTCATATAAAGTTCTATATATCTCGTGCCTAGAAATAAAAAAATAAAAAAAAAGTGTATGTATATATATAACTCAATAATATTATTATCTTGGTTAATTAAGACATTGAAGTATTAGAGGATCAAAAGATGTTTTTTAATGATATTTCCTCTGCCTCCTTTTAATATGAAAGTTGATATTTGAGTTTTATAAGAATAAATGAATGTGTGAATTTTTTGTCAATAAAAAATATATATAAATTTAAGAGTTAAGACATTAAGGTGTTATATGGGTACCCTACCTATAGACTAGTAGAGATGACAAAATTTGATATGACCCGTCAACACGACACGAGTTAAGCGGTTTGAGTTGATCTTAAACGGGTTTGGATCGTAAATCGGTCGACACGATTAACTCGTTTAGTTAATCCTGTCATGTTTTGATTGAAAAGTTCAACCCGTGTAATTCATTTATATACGTACATTTAATTATATGTGTCATAACTAAATTTCTATTTAAGTTTTAAAATTACTATATAAACTTGTGTGTTATAATTTAATATTTTGTAAACTAGGACTATATAGTAATTTGGTTGGTTAAAACTTATAATATGTTTTTAGTATTTATTATTTTATTGAGTATTATTAATAATTTAAATAATATTTAATTATATATATATTTTTTAAATAGGTTATTAAACGGGTTACACGTATAATCCGTTTAATAAACGGGTTGGGTTAGTGTTGAAAGTTTCTGACACGATTATTAAACAGGTCATATTCAGATTGAACTGTTTAGTAGAATACCCTTAAATCAACAAGACACGATTATAACCAACGAACATGAATTGTCATCCCTAATTATAACATACAAGTTTATAATATAGTAATTTTGAAATTTAAATAAAAATTTAATTATAACACATATAATTAAACATGCATGAACAGATTACATAGTTTCATGAAAAAGTCCATTATTCTAGAGAAAGAAACTCATAGACAACCCGAAACTGAATGAGTCAGACTAGTTAGAAAATTAACTGAAAGCAACTACTACAATTATTATTTTTATTATTTTGTAATATATATATATATATATATATTGTTCAAAGGTTTTAGGTATTACTCCGTATTATACTACAAAGAAACTTCTAAACAATTTCCTACATGGCATCATACGTTATCTTGAAATAAATAATTGATTATTTTTAAAGAGTTTATATTATCTTAACATATTAGGTTGGCCAAGACTTTTAATTTTCTCCCCTTTTCATTTACAAATAAATAAATAAAACTAAAACGAATACTTAAACTCCCAATTGTCAACGTAAAAAGATAGAGGAGATTACATCCATAATATCATATGTGTGGTAATAGAATTTATTCTTAATACTATTATTAAAACAAAAAATTTACACAGATGTTCTCAAAAGAAGTTATAAAATTTACTTAACATGTGTGGGTTGCATTATAATTGTTCTGTTTTTTCTTTTAGATATATATATATTACTTCTTAGTTCACAAAGATGTCTCTTTTGAGACTTGAACCCCTGATCTCCCTTTGGGAGGTAAGAGCTCGTTGATTTCTTTTAGATGTTACGTAGAGTCTCTAAAGAGTTGTAAATTTTAGTTCAAAATTCAAATTGTTGCTTACCTAATTTTATATATATATATATATATATATATATATATATATTATTGAAGAGGCAATCACTGTCAAAGCAAAAAAAAAAAAAAACATTTACAAATAGAAGTTAGAAAATGTTATATATATATGACATTGTTTTGACCATACTCTTAAATTAATCAGTTGGTCAATTTGACTGCGCTAGCATATATATAAATTTTATTATCTTGCATGTATTTGTTGTTTATTTTATGAGTTTAAGTAAAATATATGCGATTTTAAAGCTATTTTGCACACTTATGTCAAAAGCTGTGTGCTGTGACATTATGATTTTATTTTTATCCAAAAAAACTAATAAAAAACTCCTATGACATCGTATTACGAAAAGAAAATGCCTCCCACTTTGATTTTCTTTATATATAATAATTTTGTTTTGAATATTTCCTTTACTTATAGAAATATTAAATTTTGACTGTTAAGACTTCAAAGGTTCAGTAATATTGTTTCTATTAAATTGTCACGCCCTGAATTCCACGACTCAGGTCGCGAAGAAATAAAAATAAAAATAAATAAAAAATAATAATTAAAATAGATAATTAATTAATTAGATTCACTTGAGTAAATAAATAATTAATTGGAGAAAACCGGTATCATTCACCACATAAATAATAATAATAATAATAATAATAATAAAAATAATAATAATAGTTTCATAAAATAAATAATAGCATGATTAATTAACCATTTATATTAGACTATCCAAATGAACCCACATGTACACAACTTAAACAATAATTATTCAATTCCACTATATAAGTCATGGTCACCATGACCTCATTACAATCCATAAGGTGAGAAATAATATTAAGGGATTACATGAGTAAAGATAAGAGAGAAAATTTCAAAAGAACTCCAAAAGATAGATGGGTGAGTTCCTACATCATTTTCCTCCTCCAAAAGAATATTACAAACATGCCATCAAATATAATATCCAAAATACACCATGTGTCAAAATACAAGTCCAAAAGTAAGCTACACAATGGATGTCACAATTATCACAAGTAGCTCAAAAATGTTGTCAAGATCCCAACCAAGTTAGGGATAAGGAACCTCCTCTTGGGCAATGCCCTTTCCTGAAAAATATAAGAATCAGTGGGGTGAGCAACGAATTGCTCCGTAGGAATGTCTCATGAATATAAACTAGGTTTCTCAAAATTCTACAAACATGCATGGTCATACAATACAAGGAACATGCTCCCTAATGTCTTGTCTCAAGGGAAACCTAAATAGGATCATCCTAGTCTAGCATAAATAATATTAATTCATTCATCAAAACAAACATAAGTAACAATGTGTAATGTACATAAATTCACAAGTTGCAATAACACATAAATGCCAACTTGAAAATAAAAGTCGAAATCAATTAACGGGATGACTCGGAACACACCCACACTCCCGGTCACATAGTCATACTATGCGCCTAAATAAAAATAGTCGTTTTCGGATTACTAGTCCGCCGTAAATTAATGGCCAATATAAAGTGGGGAAACTCGTGTTTCACCCCCGAGCGCCGAGCCCTCGCATTCTCAAAGTAACAACCCCCGAGCATCTCCCAAAATCAACAAACAAGTCCACAAAATAATTCATATACCATGATATGTCCAAATTGCACTTCACATGCGCACATAAATTATACTAATCACACAATCCATGTCCTATGGTCCAAATCACTATAATGGCATACTCTTTGATGCAATGTCAACAAATTGGGTATTTTAAAGTCATTTAAATTCATGTTATCATTATATCAAATTTCAAGTGTGTAAAAGTTTAACATCATCATAGAAATATACATCTTCAAAATTAACCTTCACAAAATAACAAATACATGATAATTCCATGAATAAGCATAAAATATAAGGCACTTTAATTACAAGAAAATGTACACATTAAGATCTAGGACTTTAATTAACATCCATAATATCAACAATGGAACAAATAACATATTACACATGAAAATTGATATAAAAATTCAACAAAACATTATGGACATGCAATTAAATCATTATATAAGCTCTCTAATTAAACCTACACACACAAGTATATGCATAACTCACACAATGGTCATAAAATTCCAAGAACTCCTAGGTTATAAGCACAATACACCCCTACCTCAAGCTAGGAGCAAACCCTAGCTACTCCAAAGGAAAAATGTGCTCCAAATCCAAAATTGATTGAGGGGTTTTGTTCCTCTCGTAGTCCTCGTCAATTTTCCTTCTATGCAAGCTCAAAATCTCAAAGGTTGGAGGTGAAATGGTGGAGAAATGGTTGAAGTAAAATGAAAAATAAAAGAATGAGAGATAGAAGAGAGAGTGTCAGTGGAGTGAGAGAAATGAGAGGATTTTTGGTCTATCTTACACTTTCTCTCTCTATACAAACACACATATACATATTACACACATTCCCATCCACACATATCTTACCCACTAGTCAACCTAGGCCCCACAACATAACAAAATGCAATTAAAAAAATAAATATAAATGGAAAATAAAAATGAAAATAAACTTGGTCATCACAACCTCCCCAACTTAAAGGGATTTCATCCCCGAAATCAGGTCATACCTCAAGTTGCAAACAAATCCGGGTACTTGGAGCGAACCTCCTCCTCCCGTTCCCAGGTAGCCTCCTCAACTCCGTAATGCCTCCATAAAACCTTGACCAATGGAATGGTTTTGTTTCTCAACACTTGCTCCCTAGTGTCGAGAATCTGTACTGGCCCCTCCTCGTAAGTCGCATTCTCATCAACCTCAATGTCGACCCATCTCAAAATGTGTGACGGATCTGGCTCATACTTCCTCAACATAGAAACATGGAAGACATTGTGAACTTTATCCAAATGTGGGGTAACGCCAAGCGATACGCAACCTCACCAACGCAATTCAAGATCTCGAATGGCCCAATGAATCTAGGAGACAACTTTCCACTTCGCCCAAAATGCATTAATCCCTTGCGTAGAGCGATCTTGAGAAAAACATGATCTCCCACCTCGAAGGACAATGGTCTCCTCCTCTTGTCAGCATAGTTTTTCTGCCTACTTTGAGCCGTGATCAACCACTGTTGAATCAACTTGATTTTCTCCATGGTCTCAATAACAATGTCAGGACCCAAGGCAGCTGTTTCTCCTACCTCGGTCCAACAAACTGGAGATCTACAAGGTCTGCCATATAATGCCTCGAAAGGTGCCATCTCAATGCTGGCCTAATAACTGTTGTTGTAGGCAAACTCTACCAAGGGCAAGTGATCTTCCCAACTGCCTCCAAAATCTAAGATGCATGCTCGTAGCATATCCTCCAATGTCTGAATGGTACGTTCTGACTAACCATCAGTCTGAGGATGGAATGCCGTGCTAAAATGAAGCCTTGTATCAAGAACCTCCTGAAAACCCTGCCAAAAATGTGAAATGAACCGTGGATCACTGTCCGAAACAATAGACATTGGAACCCCATGGAGCCTGATAATTTGCCTCACATACTGCTTACTGAGCTTCTCTGCATCATCAGATACTTGCATAGGCAAAAAGTGAGCTGTCTTTGTCAACCTGTCGACTATGACCCAAATGGCATCATTCCCATTATTTGACCTCGAAACTCCTGTCACAAAATCCATGGTAATGTACTTCCATTTCCACTCCGCTACTGGTAATGGTTGCAACAAACCCGCTAGCCTCTGATGCTCGGCCTTCACTTGTTGACAAGTAAGGCACTTGGCCACAAACTGTGCAACATCCCGTTTCATACCCTTCCACCAAAACTGACGTCTTAAACTGTGATACATCTTGGTACCACCTGGATGAACAGCAAGTCGAGAATGGTAAAAGTCCTGAAGGACACTATCATGACAAGGCAAAGGGACATACATCTTTCCCTTGAACCTAAGACCTCCATCTGAATGTAATATCCAACCATCTACAGACTCACCACCTGAAATCCGTGTGCGAATGGACTCCATCTCGTTATCCTGCTTTTGTGCCTCAATTACCCCGCTAACAAGGGTTGGTTGAGCTACAAGACTAAACAAAGTAGCTGGTGCATCATTATTACTGAAATACAGACCCATCTCTGCAAAATCCTCCATCATTTTCCATTCCCGGATGGCAATGCTAGCCAAGTTTCCATGTGACTTCCTACTCAAGGCATCTGCCACAATGTTAGCCTTTCCTGGGTGATACTGTAAATCAAAATTATAGTCCTCCATATACTCCACTCATCGTCGTTACCTCATGTTCAAGTCATTTTGTGAGAAAAGATACTTGAAACTCTTATGATCGGAGAAAACCTCAAACTTCTCCCCGTACAAGTAATGTCTCCATCCCTTCAATGAGAAAATCACTGCCGCCAACTCCAAATCATGAGTCGGATAGTTCTGCTCATGAGTCTTCAACTGTCTAGACCCATAAGCAACCACCCGTTCCGTCTGCATCAAGACGCAACCTAAACCATCCCGTAAAGCGTCACAATAGATCACATAACCCAAACCACGTTCAGGAATCACCAAAACTGGAGCCGTAGTTAATCTGGTCTTCAACTCCCGAAAGGCTAGCTCACAAGCCTCATTCCATACAAACTTGATTCCCTTGCGAGTAAGTCGAGTCATAGGTGCCGCTAAACGAGATAAATCCTGAACGAATCTTCGATAATAACCAGCTAGGCCAAGGAAACTCCGAATCTCAAAGACACTCTTCGAACGCTCCCAATCCATCACTACTTTAATTTTCGAAGGATCAACTGAAACTCCTCCTCCTGAGACAACATGTCCAAGGAACTTCACTTTCGGTAGCCAAATCTCGCACTTCTCGTACTTGGCATACAACCGGTTATCCCTAAGGGTTTGCAACACTGTTCTCAAGTGAGACTCATGCTCCTCCTCCGAAGATGAGTACACGAGTATGTCATTAACAAATACCACCATAAACTCATCAAGATAGGCACTAAACACAAGGTTCATCAAGTCCACAAAAGCTGCTAGAGCATTGGTCAAGCTAAATGGCATCACAAGGAACTCGTAATGGCCATACCGTGTGCGAAAAGCGGTCTTAGGGATATCCTCATCCCTGACTCTCAACTGATAGTAGCCTGACCTCAAGTCTATCTTCGAAAAACACTTAGCTCCCTTCAATTGATCAAACAAGTCATCTATCATCGGCAAAGGATACTTGTTCTTGATCGTAGCATGGCTCAACTTATGATAGTCGATACAAAGTCTCAAAGACTCATCCTTCTTCTTTGTAAAAAGAACCGGTGCTCCCCACGGTGAAGCACTAGGGCGAATAAAGCCTTTTGCTTTCAAATCATCCAACTAGCTCTTTAACTCATTCAACTCCGCCTGTGCCATGTGATACGGTGCCATAAAGATGGGCGTAGTACCGAGTATGACATCAATGGCGAACACAACATCCCATATGGGAGGCAACTCTGTCAACTCCTGCGGAAAGACATCAACAAACTCACTAATCACCGCTGGAAAATTATCACCCAGACTCCACTTTTTCCTCGACTAAAAAGTTGGCCAAGTAGAACCTATGACGACCCCAATCACCAATACCATAAACGGTCAAAGTGTGTGAATCGCTCCGATCTCCCACAAAGTAAAAACAATCTCCATTGGGAGTACATATGGTCACCCTCCCTCGGAAGCAATCAATGGTGGGTCAAAAAAAAGATAACCAATCCATCCCAAGAATGACGTCAAAACCCGTCATCTCAAGAGGAATGAAGTCGAACCACAATGTCCGCCCTGCTATCTTAATAGCACAACCCCGATAAATTCTATCCAACGCAACTGGTCCCCCAACCGGTGTGTCAACACAAAGAACCCCATCCAAGGATGTGATCTCTAACCCCAATGAATGTGCAAATGATGATTAAATGAATGAATGTGATGCACCTGAGTCAATCAAAACTCTAGCCCAAGAACTGAACATAGGAAATATACCTCGAACAACTAAAGGTCCTACTGAAGTACCTGCTTGAGGAAGAGCAAAAACTCTGCCCTGCACTCCTGAACCCTGCTGTCCACCACCCTGATACCCTGACTGCTATGAAGACATACTAGGTGTAGAGCCCCCAGCAGGTTGTGGGCCCTGAACTGAAGCTACAGGCTGTGGTGTATGAGGAACCCTGGATCCAGACTGGACCACGGATGACTGTGACTGCCTGAACTGTGATCCTATACCACCATGTGATCCACTCCCCCTCTGTGGGCACTCCTTCTTGAAATATCCCGTCTACCACAACTAAAGCAAGCATTCGGAAGTCCGGTCGAAGCAATAAAAGACTGTGTGGTAGGTGTCTGAAGCTGTGGGCAATGTGGCCTGATGTGTCCTGACTGATGACAATGGTGGCATACTACCTCAGTGTGGATCCCAACGATAAGGGAACTATGGGTGCAGGACGTGCCTACTGCCGAGACCTCTGTGAGTATGAACTGCCTCTTCCCCCTCTAAATTTCTTCGATTGACTCCCTGAAGATGAAACCTTACCCCTAAAATGCTTTTTGGACTCCCTAATCCGTTGTGAGTCCCTGTCCTCTGCCTCCACAAGCAATGCCCGCCTCACCACTTCAGAATAGACCCTCAAATCCAAGACTGAAACACGGGGCCTAATGTTAAGGTGTAGGCCATTTTAAAACTTCAAGGCCCTATCTTCATCGATCCGTACCAAGTCTGGTGCATAGCGAGAGAGAGACGTAAACTTGTTCTCATACTCCATGACACTAATACTCCTTTGGTAGAGGCCATCGAACTTCTTTCTTATTTCCCTCATTGCGGTCCTTGGGAAATACTTTACATAAAAGAGCCCCTGGAAGACTTCCCAAGTCATCGTCTCAATATCATGAGTGTTGGTGATAGATCTCCACCAAACCTCGGCATCACCTGTGAATGAGAAGGATGCTAGAGAGATCCTCAACCGATCTGTGGGCACCGCTATACCATCAAGTTTCTTGACCGCCGAGTCAAGCCAAAACTCTGCCACTAGTGGATCAAATCCCCCTACAAATGGCTCAAGCTTGAGCCTCTGAAACGTCACAAGGTAGTTCATAGCCGGGTTAGTGTAATACCCCTACTTTAAAAAGGGATAAAATTGGAATTTAAATGTTATTTTATGTGCATTTTTATTTTATTTATTAATTTTATGAATAAATGCTTATGTGGCAAATTGTTTATTTGTGTGTATTAATTGATTTATTTGTTAATTATTTATTTGCGTTTATTATTTTGGTTTAATTGTCTTAGTTGAATTATTTAACATTATTTGCATTAATTGACTTAATTGGATAATTTGATTTAATTGATTTATTATTGTTTTATTAAATGGAATTTAATTGTAGGTTTTTGTTATAGGCCAACTCGGATTAAGTTTAGGGCTCTATCTCAATGTGACAAGGATTAGGGTTTTAGTATTTAGTTTATAAATGCACCATTATGCGTTAAGCTAGGGTTTTACGATATATCACATAGCATATACACGTAGAGGGTTCTGCAAAACACAGAGAGATATAGAGTAAGGTTTGAGAGAACAGAGCAAATTGTGAGTTCTCGACTGAGGTTTCAAGGCCAAACCTAGGAGAAAGAAAGGGCAGAGGTAATAGGAGGCTAGACAGTGTTGCAGTGGTCACCGGAAAGTCTAGGAGGAAGACAACGTTGAAAGGTTTCAAATCGGAACCGAAAGGCAAGTTCTATCTTCCTCTTTCCCTTTGGGCCGTGTTCTGTGCACCTAGATAATCTCTAGGGTTTAACTAATCAGTAATTGGAACTTACGTGTTTATATATATATTTCATTGATGATATGTTTGCCTTAAAACAAATCTGTTACAAAGCATGTAACACTGGTTCCAGTTTTCTGCCTTTTAAGCATGTTGTAACTTTATTTTTTGTAGTTAATTTAAACTACTGTAAACAAAGTATAAGAATGCTACTGGGGTATATAAAACTCATAGGGATGCTATTATTCTATTTTAATTACTTGTTGCAATCCGTTCTGTTTCAATTTGCACATGGTTCCAGTGTTCATACTAACAGCATGTTAAGTTGGGTAGCAAACGTAAGCTTTGTAATTGATTTAAATTGCTATAATCAAACCCTGGGGATGCTATTATGAGGGTATTAGATCTTTAAGATCAGTTTAAGAAACCAACAGAGGGGTAGGAATTGATCGGAGAATGAGCAGATTGACGGAAACGGAGCAGAGATGAACTAGAGGCTCTCAAGAGGGAGAGAGCCGGCTCTAGAAAGTCAAGAGCCGTCTCCCCTTCCGAAAGAGCCAGCTCCTAGGGAATTAGAGCCAGCTCCAATAGGGGAAGAGCCGGCTCTTCCATTCCAAGAGCCGGCTCCAATTTGTGTTACGTCCAGAAAGTGTTTTCTAGGTCTCTGTTTGGTGTTTTGAGCACTGTTTGAGCTTTTGAGTTATGCTAATGAACTGTAGGGACTTAACAGAGGATCTAAGTAGTTAATTTTAAGTGTTATTAAATTTATTGTTGTATGGTTTAAATCTCTAAGACAAAGGATGAAGCAGTGTAAAAATATACAACGGTGTATGCTACTAACAGAGAAAGGAACTAAATGGCTTGATTAAATTTTAGAAATTTAATGAGACTTCACGGGGGGATTAAATAGTTAATTTTGGGTGTTATTAAGATCCTAAATTGATTTAAGGTTAATTCTAAATTAACGGATCAAACTGTATAATACTTATGTACAATTGTATACGGTTAGTAGATGGATGAAGTTTTAAATGCTTAAGCTTATTTTTAGGCATTCCAGTTGGATTTAATATATTTATAAAATGGGTTTAAATATATTATAGGGTCATTGGTGTGTTAGATGTGATCTATGCATGCTCTGGATGTTAGTTGTTGATTTATTAAATCATCTCCTGCAACTATATGGTTAACTATTTGGATTTAGATTACTAAAACTTTCAACAGTTTCTTACAATGGTTCGGATATTGGTTTGGACTGTAAATTGCTAAACTTTAATTTAGGTGTTGTAATTTACTTGGTTTGGATGCCAATTGTGAAATCTTATATATTATTTTGCAATCAACTGGATTAGGGTTTTGAACTGAAATTGCTATAATATTGTATAAACGATGCTGCAATTACTTGGCTTTGGTTTTGGATTTAAATTACTTGCTTATTATATATTTGTGGTAATTTACATGGATATGGAGAATTGTATGTACCGGTATGGGACGGTGACATACTAGGTATGGATTAGTTAAAACACTAATCCTACCTAATTTGGAATGAGTTGGATTAACCATACAAAGGTTAAGTCCTACTTAAATGGATGTATATGAACCGGTATGGGACGGTGTCATATTAGGGATGGCTTAGTTCAAAACACTAAGACCTACCTATATTGGGAATGGATTAGTTCAAAACACTAAGTCCTACCCAAATTGGATTAAGGTATGGATTAACCCTAATGGTTAAGTCCATCATCTATTTGTGTCATATCAATTAAGAATTGAATGACCTATTTGGTTTCAGGATGGATTTGTTATACATATATCAGACCCCTATATATATGGTTGATATTTTGTATTAGGAGGAGTATGGACTTCACATATATAATATACGTGCCATGGTATGAGCTTGAGTCTCAGGACCATGGTTAGGGCGCGTATATCGCCTGGGATGGATAACTGGACATAGGTGTTGTTCCCTGGTAGGTCTAGGTACTCATGCCCACCTTAGGGTGCGTATTTGAATGATGCCTTCTATTCAGGTTGAGACAGACCTACTGGACTAGCGAGCGTCCTATAGTGTGCACTATATACATATATGGACTACTCTAGCTATTGTGAGGTATCTATGGTGTATCTGCGTATCGGGTCACTGTATGGATTGTAGTTAGATTAGAACTTGCTCGTGGGCCTGACCCACCCTTCTATTATTTTTTTCAGGTGTTCGTCAGTCCAAGCTGTAGAGCTTGATTGTGCTGAGCAGATACAGTTATTCACCGCACCGATGGCATAGGATTTTATTTCATGTTAAGACTTGAGTTTTATTTCCAGTTCTTTTGAATACAGTTGGGATTTGAATAGGGGTCCACTAGATGGATTCCCGAGTTGTATTTGGAGGATCAGTTGTAGCATAAAGGTTATTTATTAATGAAATTTTATTTCGAGATTTCATTCAATGGATTATCATTTTAGTTTTCTATTCAGCAAATTTTATTTATCTCTTTTGATATAATTATTCTGTGTTCGATTATTGCTAATTGTTTTGATATCCTCGGGTAATCGGGTGTGGGCCTGGCCAACCCGCATCCGGAAATCTGGGGGTATCACAGTTAGCCACTGCCGGCTCTAGAGGCCTCAATCCTGCGGTAATTCTCCGAACCATCTCCTCTATGGCCACTGTGAATCCACGTGTCATCTCTATCATCACTTGTGTGCCATCAAAAGAAGTAGGTGGTGGGTCAACACCCACGCCTCTGCTCCTATCCCTCCTGGGGTGAACCATATCCCTAAGAAGTTGTGTCTCATCCACATGCTCCCCAAGGTTAGGACGCGAAGTCTCTCCAGTTTCACGTCTAGGCGGCATGGTTCTATAAGTACAATGGAAACAGATGAATATAGATGTAAGTCAATAATTAAATGGAAGTGCTCACAATCCCATGCAATTCACTCAATGGAAACATGAAACGCAATGCATCATAATGCGAACCAACATATAAATCATGCTGAGTCATAAAACAAAATGTCTTAAACAATTAAGCACATAAGCACGTAACAAATAATTATCATGTAAACATGGAACACGAAATAAACCCAACCCGTCGTCCTTAGGTTTTCGAACCCGAATGCTCTGATACCACGTTGTCACGCCCCGAATTCCACGACTCGGGTCGCGAAGAAATAAAAATAAAAATAAAAATAAACGAAAACTAATAATAAAAATAGATAATTAAATAAATAATTAATTAATTAGATTCACTTGAGTAAATAAATAATTAATTGGAGAAAACCGGTGTCATTCACCACATAAATAATAATAATAATAATAATAGTTTCATAAAATAAATAATAGCATGATTAATTAACCATTATATTAGACTATCCAAATGAACACACATGTACACAACTTAAACAATAATTGTTCAATCCCACTATATAAGTCATGGCCACCATGGCCTCATTACAATCCATAAGGTGAGAAATAATATTAAGGGATTACATGAGTAAAGATAAGAGAGGAAATTCCATAAGAACTCCAAAAGATAGATAGGTGAGTTCCTACGTCATTTTCCTCCTCCAAAAGAATATTACAAACATGTCATCAAATATAATATCCAAAATACACCATGTGTCAAAATACAAGTCCAAAAGTAAGCTACACAATGGATGTCACAATTATCACAAGTAGCTCAAAAATGTTGTCAAGATCCCAATCAAGCTAGGGATGAGGAACCTCCTCTTGGGCAATGCCCTTTTTCCTGAAAAATCTAAGAATCAACGGGGTGAGTAACGAATTGCTCCGTAGGAATGTCTCATGAATATAAACTAGGTTTCTCAAAATTCTACAAACATTGCATGATCATAAAATACAAGGAACATGCTCCCTAACGTCTAGTCTCAAGGGAAACCTAAATAGGATCATCCTAGTCTAGCATAAATAATATTAATTCATTCATCAAAACAAACATAAGTAATAATGTGTAATGTACATAAATTTACAAGTTGCAATAACACATAAATACCAACTTGAAAATAAAAGTCGAAATCAATTAACGGGATAACTCGGAACACACACACACTCCCGGTCACATAGCCATGCTATGCGCCTAAATAAAAATAGTCGTTTTCGGATTACTAGTCCACTGGAAACTAACCGATTGGCCAATATAAAGTGGGGAAACTCATGTTTCACCCCCGAGCGCTGAGCCCTCGCATTCTCAAAGTAACAACCCCCGAGCATCTCCCAAAATCAACAAATAAGTCCACAAAATAATCCATATACCATGATATGTCCAAATTGCACTTCACATGCGCACATAAATTATACTAATCACACAATCCATGTCCTATGGTCCAAATCACTATAATGGCATACTCTTTGATGCAATGTCAACAAATTGGGTATTTTAAAGTCATTTAAATTCATGTTATCATTATATCAAATTTCAAGTGTGTAAAAGTTTAACATCATCATAGAAATATACATCTTCAAAATTAACCTTCACAAAATAACAAATACATGATAATTCCATGAATAAACACAAAATATAAGGCACTTTAATTACAAGAAAATGTACACATTAAAATCTAGGACTTTAATTAACATCCATAATATCAACAATGGAACAAATAACATATTACACATGAAAATTGATATAAAAATTCAATAAAACATTATGGACATGCAATTAAATCATTATATAAGCTCTCTAATTAAACCTACATACACAAGTATATGCATAACTCACACAGTGGTCATAAAATTTCAAGAACTCCTAGGTTATAAGCACAATACACCCCTACCTCAAGCTAGGAGCAAACCCTAGCTACTCCAAAGGAAAAATGTACTCCAAATGCAAAATTGATTGAGGGGTTTTGTTCCTCTCGTAGTCCCCGTCAATTTTCCTTCGATGTAAGCTCAAAATCTCAAAGGTTGGAGGTGAAATGGTGGAGAAATGGTTGAAGTAAAATGAAAAATAAAAAAATGGGAGAGAGTGTCGGTGGAGTGAGAGAAATGAGAGGATTTTTGGTCTATCTTACACTTTCTCTCTCTATACAAACACACATATACATATCACACACATTCCCATCCACACATATCTTACCCACTAGTTAACTTAGGCCCCACAACATAACAAAATGCAATTAAAAAAATAAATATAAAAGGAAAATAAAAATGAAAATAAACTTGGTCATCACATAAATTATTCACATCATTTCAACTGTAGAAATTTAAGCAACGACTATTTCTCAAGTTGTGTTTCTTGTGGTTGTGGGAGACAGTATTAACAACCTAATTTTGATATTAATTATGAATTTTGAACAAATTCAATGCCCTTTATTTTTTTAAAAGTAATAATGTTGGATTCTAAGTTAGTATACTAATTTTTTAATTAAAAAATTAAAGTGTATTTGTTCAAAAGTAGAGGGCCGATGTCCTCCTCTGTTGCTAACTTTGATTCTCTTAAGTACAGCGTAACTCTACGAAGGAGTCGTACCCGTGTTTTGTCTATATCGAATACCAACACTACTCGAACATGTGTCTGATACTTCATATATGTGTTTATAAATAAAAATAAAATTTTATTATTTTGGACACTTCACTGACACTTCCGGACACTTAGACTGACACTTTCTAACATTTGTAATACAAGTCTACCAGATAGTCTTGAAAATAATATGAACACATTCTGAAATGTTCAACTTAAATTTTTTAAAATAAAAAAATTAAATTAAATAAATAAATAAAAATTTGGTATTGTACATATAATCACAAGTGAAGCATAAAATGATATTTGCCCATTTAAAACAAAAATACTATAACAGTATATATAATATAAAAGTCATTACAATAATGAGATAATTTTATTTTCCAAAATATTTCAAAGCTCTTAGTATAGAAATTAGAAATGAATCAAAGTTTTTTAATACAATTACTCAATATATGTATATAAACAAATATTTATATTTATATATAGTCGTGTCTACGTCACACTCAGCAGCAGAGACGACTGGGGGACTATTCACGCGGAGGTCTTTCTGAGCTTCACAAGAAGGGTCACAATTTGGTCATCTAATGCAAGAATCTTCGATTCAATTTCCATAGAGCAATGCAATGAGGAAATGAAAAAGGAAGAGAAGAGGTCTCGATCCTAACAAGTTTGTGTCTTATTTTTTAAAAATTTGACGTGTCCACATATCCACGTCTTGTCCGTGTCTCGTGTCATTGTCCATGCTACATAGTAGTTAACCAACCGTGAGATTTAACCGAAGTTCAAAATTGTCACATGGTTCACTAAAGTGTTGGTTGATACCTTAATTTTGCAATTAAGTCCCTTTGATAATGCAAGTTGACTTGGATGAGCATTTGACAAACTCAATGCCCTTTTTTTGAGTGAATGAAAATGATTTTAATCCCTGGTCAAATTTAGCAGAAATGAAAATAATTTATTTTGTATTACGGGATGACTGGTTACACTTGGCGCCATTTCATTTTCATAGTTTGGTCAGATCCTTGTATATAGGTGCAACTACCACATTTGAATAAAGCAAAAATCACAATAATTCTCCTGAAGACTCGTTTCTGATGCACAGAGATGAACCCATACAATGGGAAATCAATTTGCTTTTATTTATCCATAAATGAGATGTCATTAAATCACAAGATTGAGACTTGGACTATTTTTCTGCTTGAAAATAACTAGGAATCAATTTCAAGGACATAGATGTGTATATGCGTTCCTTGAATTATATAAAAACAAATTGGTCTTACAAATGCCAAAAATAGGAAAAGCAACAACCTATAATACAAATATACTTTGAACATGAAGATTCAATCCCCATACAACATCTTACGCAAACGAATGGACAGCCATGTGTGAGAAGAAATCTAGCTTAATCCAATCAATCCTACAGAGACCATAGAATGATAACTGGCAACAACATATACCGTCAAACTATACGTCGAATAACAGACATTCGATCAACTGACTATTGTTTATAGTAGCCACTCTGGTGGGGAGGAGGATATGGAGAAGGAACGTTGTAAGGAGGTCGAGGAAAAGATCCGGGTTGCTGTGGCTGCGTATTGTAGTATGGACCACGCCACCCAGGATAAGCAGGTTGGCCGTACTCATGGCCGACTGCAGGTTGCTGTTGGTGCTGCGGTGGTGCATACAGAGGACCTGTAGCTGGCACATGGTAAGGAGGTGGCGGGGGCTGTGAAGAGCCATAAGTGGGAGGGGGGTGAGCATATCCAGGCATTGTTGGCTGCTCGGTGGGCTGGTAGTAAGGTGGTGGTGCTTGGGGAAGAGGAGGCGGCATGTTCCCTGTGTCGGTTTGCTGTTGGGAACTGGATCTTTGATTTTGATAAGGCTGTCCGGCTGTAGGGTAGTTGTAAGCACCTGTGTTCTTACCATCCTGGAAACTGAGGCCTGCAATTTGTCTTTGTACATCTTCGATCATTTCTCGGCACTGTATGCTTCTGGTCATTACAAAATCACTGCACTGCTGCTTTACGTTTGTGATAGCATCCTATTTGACAAAGGCAAATGCAGATGAATTCATGTTTAATGACATCACTAAAAAGTCCTGACACGCGAAAAATAAAATTTGATAATCTCATGCATACAAATGAGAAAAATGTAAACAGTAACAATAATAACGAGGCACTTAATCAGAGAATCCAAAAGAAGGTATGCTATTATTTAACTTAATAATTTTTTATTTTGCAAAATCTAGTCATTAAGATTAGCAATAAGAAATTTCATACCTGAAGAGTAACATAGAACTTCAGTCCCTCATTGATGTTCTCTTTAATTTCGCGGAACTTAGCTATGGCAGCTTCGATCTGCTTGTAGCTCTTCTCTCGAGATGCTAAGAAATTGAAGTAAAAGCATACAAAGAATGTCAAACAGGGGCACACTCCATATGAGTGGAAAACAGATGCTGGAAGCATCAACAGAACGAGTAGGAATATTTTAGGATGCAACTGAAATAAACCCACATCAATGTTGAGATTCAGCCACATTGGAGAAGCTCTTGAGCTTATGGTATCACTAATATTTATAGGACTAGACACAACAAAGAGTTGTCAAAAACTAAACAAAATATAACAAAAATTCAATCACCATGTTATGGACATCAAGGGAAGCATGAAAGCATTAGCACTAGACTACTAATTATATATAATTAAATGTGTATAATGATAATTATGGAAAGAAAAAAAAAATGTGTACAATGATAACTGTAGATTGATTAAGAGATGAGATAGTTACCAGTTCATATAACTTGTCTAGCCTGCTATGCCTGTGAGCTCACTAGCTGAACTAACACAACGTGAACCACACACACGCAAAAAAAAGGGACTTTTAATGTGACTATTTGCTCTATTCTAAGGACAAAACCGGCAATCAGATAAGTGAGTGTAATGCGATTAGCAATTGCCAACAAAAAACAGGCTCCAATACCTACTGATCCACAGTGTAGAACATAAGACGCCTGCTGATGCATGGTACGAATACAGGATACCAATCACATAAACTAGTAGGACCACAAATAAAAGAGGCCTAGTGAGACCATTCCTAATCACACAATCAAGAAAAGAATAGAAGAAAAATACAACCATCCATGAACAACAAATGAATAACTGAACAAAAATGAATAGATAACAGCACTTAATCTACAATAAATAAAACCTACCTTTATAATCTTCAAGATTGAATGTAGCAGCAAAGTCGTCATTTTGAGCCTGTAAACAGCAATAAGATCATTTTAGGAACAATAAGTTCTTAAGAGGCACGTTTTTAATGTATAAAAGATCAAAAATTACCATTTGAGACCAAATTCTGTTAACCAAGGCAGAAAATGAATGAATAACAGCAACTAAGAGAAATCTTGAAGAGGCAATGAAATTAAATTGGTAAAGGTGCCTCTTCCTTTCAACACTAAGGACAGTGGCAAACCATCACACAACTCTTCTTAAGCCTAGTGCAATAGGAAAAGGGTCTCCTAATACCAGTTCCTATATTCACTTCTAAAGGTGATGCCCCAATTCTACCGATCAATTAATAAATAAATAGATAAGGATTTAAGCTAACCTCAAAACAGAAGCAGTCTTTAAAGAAGAAATAAATAAAGGTGGTGAAAAATTAAGTTCCAAAGTGAATTTCCTTCCTATCAAAAGTCCCTTCCCCTCAGGAAGTTATAAAATTTAGAGAGAGACATTGGGGGTGGGGGGAAAGGAAGATCAGAATATCATAAGTATAATATCTAATTGTGTTCCCTATTGTACGGCACCACCCCAATCAAAAGTGGGGGAAAAAGATGCACAGACACAAATAATCCTATCACGTGACACAAAAAAATCTACAGCCGTATGATGGAAAAAGTAATTGGTCCTTCAACTCCCACCAGTTCCGCAGAATTTATTAGCAGAGCCATTCACTGGAAGTATCAAATTCATCATAAACAATCATACTTCGCAATAATAACCATGCAAGGCAATAATAACGTATACCTGAATTTGTATCAATAATTGTTCTTGTGCCTCAATATTCTGCCCAATTTCTTCGCAAATGTGATCATACTTCGCTAACTCCTTTCTAAAAAGATCCTCATAAGAGCCCGTGGAAGTCATCAACTTCGGCAAGATATTATCCTGAAACCAAACATGAGGTAATCTTAACCAACTGCGCACTAAAAGAAAAGGCAGCAGTTGCAATAACTGGAATGAAATAATGCACAAATTCAACATTTTATAAGCATGATGATTTTATTCCATCCAATGTAAAAGTGATGCAGCAAAGCAGGAAAAGCTTGATGATCTCAACGGTTTATTTGTGAAAGGCAATCTTTGAAACAATAAGACAAGGAGATGCCTAAAATTAAATCAACCAGATGCCATTTCATTCTGCCTGTTGTTTTGGATAGCCATGATGATTAAGATGATGTCCAACTAAGAAGCACGGACACTCCAAAATGGGCAAAGAATCCGTGTCGGACACGGACACGCGTCGGACACGCCGAAAAACGTGTCTGGAATTTTTTTATTTTTTTTAATTTTCGGACACGGCTTAGACACGGCTCGGACACGGTTTGGACACGGCTCGGACACACTTTTCTGGATTTTTTTTTTTTTTTTTTAAATTTTTAATTCTGATATGTTAATTTTTTTTTTTTTTAATTTTTAATGCTGATATGTTCTATTTTTTGTTTTGTACTACCCTAAAGATGCTGATATATATATATACTAACCTAAAGATGCCACAATTCGCCGTGTCCGTGTCCTAAAGATGTTGATATATATATATACTAACATATCAGTGATATATATATATATTCCAACCTAAACATATCAGTGTTTTTTTTTAAAAATTATTAATGCTGATATACATATATATATATATATATATATATACTATTCGCCGTGTCCGTGTCCTAATTTTTTTGGATTTGCCGTGTCCTAATTTTTTTGGATTTGCCGTGTCCGTGTCGTGTCGTATCCGTGTCCTGTATCCGTGTCCGTGCTTCTTAGATGTCCAAGCTCAGGAAGAGGCTTGATTGCAGGTCTACCCCACCGCACCCCGAGCAAGAGGGGGGGAACCCTCACAATTTGTCCCACTTTTAAAGAAAGTTGAAATTCAAGGAAAAATTAAGGTAAATGACAAATATCTCTATCCTGTACAGGACAGATATCGAGCTGATCAATTTCCAATAATGTCCTTGAAGATTAATTTTTAAGTTATACAGAAAAAAAAAAAAAAAAAAAAATGCACAACACTAATTTATGAAAATATTTAACATTCATCATTCTAGCAGAAGCTAACAACATTTAAGATCCTGATAGACGCATGACCACGTTAATACAGAAGGGGGAAAAAGCAAAATAATATATAATCATTACGTGAGATTCTGGTAAGAACCGTCTGAACATTAATTATTTTCAAGTAGCAGATAACTGCATCAAATCCAAAATTATTTTGCAAATTAGGTATCAAAAACAAATTTTACCATCCTTAATTGTATTCACTCAGTAATATACTCCAGATGGATGTATAGTTCATAGAAAACCAAGGCCTTTTTACCATATTTTATCCCAACTTAAACACTACAAACATTCATTGAAGATGAAAGTACAATATATCTATCTATCCAGAAATTATATTTTGATTAGCTGGCTAAAATCCATCATACAGCACATATATTTGGCCAATAAGTCTCTTATTCACTATTCAACTAATTGGACAGATATATTTAACGCAGTAACTGCAGCATAGACTACGAATCTAGAACACCCTGTGCTTATTGATGGATTCTAACAATCAAAGATCATGAACAATATTTTATTAAGAAGAAACTATTATATATGTTCAAGAGTGGGCAAGATGTCCAACCACTAAAGCAAGACAAACTAGTCAAAAGCACAACTCTCACCCCATCTCCAGATACAAGAAAAACCCAAAACCCCCATAATCAAGGGAGGCATTTGATGAGCACTACCACATCCAATAACCCAAAAACCCCACAATCAAGGGAGGCATTTGATGAGCTACCACATCCAACAACCCAAAAACCCCATAATCAAGGACGGGGAGGCATTTGATGACCTCTAGCAAATCCAAGGGATGTAAGTATATAACCCCTTCTAAGCCAAGAAATCCATCACGCCAAGGCATCCCATTAAGATTTCTTCTATATCACAATCAAATGCCTTAAGGATGATACCAAAAAAAAAAAAAAAGGAAAAAGAAAAAGGCTGCCTTAATCAATAAACAGATATAAATCGCTTCCAATAACCCAAATACCCCATAATCAAGGGAGGCATTTGATGAGCTACCACATCCAACAACCCAAAAACCCCATAATCAAGGAAAGGGAGGCATTTGATGACCTCTAGCAAATCCAAGGGATGTAAGTATATAGCCCCTTCTAAGCCAAGAAATCCATCACGCCAATGCATCCCATTAAGATTTCTTCTATATCATAATCAAATGCCTTAAGGATGATACCAAAAAATAAAAAAGGAAAAAGAAAAAGGCTGCCTTAATCAATAAACAGATATAAATCGCTTCCATTTTTGGATAAAAGTAAATGATTAATAGGCGCCCAAGCCGCCAAGGGGTCACGCCCCATGCACATTGATTCAGAGTGATAAGTATGGTATATATACAAGTTGGCAGCTTGCCAATATTTTTGTGCCATCATCTTATTCAAATTTCTAAATATCATATGCATCAATTAGAAACCACCCCTTCATGCATAAAATTCTGCCTATCCATCTCACAACTCCAAATTTGGGTTTGGGACAGCTTTGGTAGTTATTTTTCATCTCGAACAGGGTCAAGAAAGGCATTTGACAAGTTATCATGGTGGTTTGGTCAGAGATGGTATCAGGGTGGTTGGTATAAGGATTTAGCGGTTCAATAGAATAATAACTGAGCTGGTGGTTTGTCAGTGGCCTCCCTCTCTATCTCTCGACACACACACACACCCCTATATGAAGAAAGTGCAGAAATAAATCACACATGGTTACAAAATATCTTACAAATTAATTTTTTAATTACCAAAAATTTCTGTTTTGAAAAAATATTATGGTGAAAATGGAGGTCCATTGGTGGTTTGGGCATGGTTCTAGAGTCCTTTTAAAGGAATAAAAAGAAAGGAGCATTGTTGAAGGTTTTGAGATTTTCATCAGGGAAGAATAATGATCGAGAAAGTTTCTTGAAAAACATGGAGTGATGAACCAAGGAAAAATATTGGTATGTGGAGAGAGAGGGAGGTGGGGGTAAGATTAACTCTCTCAGTAAGTTATACTGTGCTTCCTTCATCTTCAGCACTCAAATCCTTACACTAACTCGGTCAACTCTATGTCAAAACCACAATTCATAACCATCAGCCACTCCCAAAACCATAGCTTCATGACCTTCGCCTCCTTCAAAGATGCTGCTTGCTTGTCAGAGAAAAGACGCTGCGTGCAATTATCAACAATCAAATATTCAAAATTCATCAAATATGATGATAAGCCATGAGAGGAGGGAGAGAGAGAGAGAGAGAGAGAGAGATGATTCAGATGGTTGAGGAGAGCCAGTAGCATCAGGTAGTGAAGCAGAAGGTTGTGGTGGGTGGTGGCTATAGGTAATTTAATTGACAGAAAGTTAAGTTTTGTCCACTTTTGATCTTAGCATGAGGATGTTTTGTAATTTTATAAAGCAGTCAACAAATATTTAAATCTTTTAGACGGAAAAGGTTAGACGAGTATTCTGAAAAGTTTCACTAAACAGTCCTGAAGGCTAACTAAGGATAGAGCGAATCTTGTCAAAAGCGTCGTTGAGGTCTAGGTAATTATGCTAATTTTCAACGTGTGTATAATGAAGTCAACCCTACCAATAAGTCAAAGTCAATGTAAGCTACCTGGGAAAAGCTACCCTGAAGTGGACTCCTGCAAGATGCCACTCCATGTCACACTCACATAATCCACAGAAATCTTCTCCATTCACCATAATACTAAACAATATTTTGACAACTCAACCCTGAAGAACCCAGGAGGCAAGGACCTCACTCTCTGCACGTCACCCATTATATAAGTAGCTTGAAGCCGTGAATGGAGAACTCAAACCACCCTTTGCAAATAACCTTTTTAAAAAAAACAACATTTATAATGTCTTATAACCTCATTAGATAACTAATAAACCCACACAGTTGCACACTCCCAAAATTTACCATTCATCCCTCTTTTCCAAAGGGAAACTCAATTGACCCTGTATCTCCACAACCACTTCCATTGAAAAAACTCAACTTTCAAATTCACAATCCTCCCCTTCTTAATAGAGGAACAAACCCCATCCCATCATACTGAGTGCTATTGAAAGTCGTCCCTAAAACCTTCCCATTAAGAAAAATTTTATTTTGCAACTCCTCTAACATCTTCCCACCTAAAGCAGTTATACAAAAAATTGACATAGAACACGCCATAAGGCACTACAGAACCCAAAGTCAATTGGCCTTTCAAAGAGGATCCTAACAGTTCCAACTACAACGTTGAAACTTGAGAGAGCATCCGACAACCCAGGATTGGAGCTAGATCAACCTCATCCACCATGTAGATAATAGTATCATCTCATATTTTGATACTCACATTTTCCAAAATTCCCCTTCAAACTCAGAACTGCCTCTCAGCAAAGCAAGACATAACACAACAATCAAATTTCTTTCTTTTTTAGTCTTTCCTTTTTTTTTTTTGGGTGGCCTTGCGCACATGCTATTATCAAGCTACTAAACAACAAAATTATAAATCAAGTAAACACACCTTCCTCTTCATCTCTTTAAGCATATCTTCAAGACCTGCCCTTTGAGCACCAAGAGTCTCTAATTGCCTCTGCAAACATAACAAAGCAAGATTGAAGGTATTATCTATACATAGTACTTAATCACATGAAATAACATATCTGTGTAGACAATGAAAGTAAGATTAATCTTTCCAAATAACAATAATGAGGATACCAATAAAAAAATGAAGTGAAGAAAAGCATCATATATTCCATTTATTTTCTCATTTACACACTAATTTGTAAAACCTATTACCCAGTATATCTGCCTATGAATATTTTTATTTAGTACATTCAACTAATATGGTAACTCATAAGATTAACTGAACAAATACTGAAAACTCTACGCAGAAAGACCTACTACCGATGTGGCAGCACTCCCAGTTTGTCTCGTAGACCATGCAATAAACCACAGCATTAGGGAAGTTTCTCCTCGATGTAGAAAAACATAAGAAGCTAGTTCTAACACATATCTTCATACTTAGTCCAGCACAAAGGGACAGGCCACGTGCATGAAACACATCATAAATAACAGGCATTTGCGAGCATACACAAGTGTTCTTTACAGTTGATAACAGAACAATAGCTGGAAGGTCTTCCAAATTCCGTTATGCCATACCACTCCACCAGTAACTCGGTGCAACATTGTAGCGGTGTTCCCAAGTTGGGTACAATTTTGACACATGAGCATACAACAATAGAGTTGGGATCAGGTGCAGTACACCACAAGTGCTATACTGCATCCGACAGTACACATCACACAAACGTGTGATCGCACACACATGAGTGATGACGACCCTTGGATGCATCACTTGTGTTGTTGCAGAGGATCCGAACTCATAACAATAAACTTCTTTTTAGTTTTATATTTGAATACATTGCCGTATTTTTTAAAGGGCTAGCCCAGTGCACGAAGCTCCTGCCATTGTGGTTCTAAGGAAAGTTAGATGTACACAGCCTTATCGCCGCACACCTAAAGGAAAGGACTGGTGCAACAAACCACAAAACTATGCAGAGGTTGAGAGAGATTGTTTCCCGACTGTGTTTGGTTTCTACAAGACAATATCCGACACTCGTCATCAAGAAAAGTTGTCCCAACAGTATTGTATGTCACACACTTGGTTATTTTTTCAAGCATGTAGTAATGCCCTTCTAGCATGCCTTGGAGATACACCACCAATATCACTTTTACTCTTTTATCAAACTTGTTAAATTTTAGTCTAAGAGGAGTTTCACATTTCATAGGTGTAATATTTGTTATCTCCAATTAAAATCTCTAGTGTTGATGAAAAATTTACAAAATAGTCCTTTATTTTCAAAATCCATACTTTCAAACTCAAAATTATGATCAATTCTCAGTACAATGGTAAAATTCAAGATGATAAGCGTGAAGATGTAGATCCTAGTCTTAGAACAGCCACTTTATGTAAAATAATGTGAAAGGTTGATCTGGTTTAAATCTTTTTCTCCCACCACTCCACGCTGGATAACGAACTTGTTACATTGAAATATGACTGTTCATTGTCACTCTTATTTATACATTTTCTACATTCAATGCATAAAAATAAAGAATCTTAAAATATATATATATATATTTCTTAGTATAATTTTTAATAAGTTCAATAGATCATGTGAGCCTAGCCATTACGATTTACGAGAACAACCAAGCAATGTAATTCAAGGCATCCTTCAACAAAAACAGAGAGAAGGAACTCCCATTCATATACATTGAAATTTGTTTACATATAGTTATGTCACCAACATGTCCAGTGTTTTAGACTAAAAAACCACGGATATATAAGTTGTTTTCATTTCCTATGTTTTTATATTAACCTACCACGAATGTCTAAACTATTCTCATCTTTTGTATATCTTTGTACCTTGCTCCAATAAAATGAGAAGATGGACAGGTTTCATAATCTTTTCTTAAAGATAATTTCGCAATCCAAAATGATAATTGGCTGTTCACATGCATTAACAAATGGAATTATAATAACCAGCCTACATGACATATATTTTAAGCATTTCCTCCAAGGTATGGAAGTATTATCATCATATAAAACACAATGTTACGGGAAAAAGTAACACGAGTTTAATACAGAGAGACTCAGAGGATATATTGCAGCTGGGTAGAAGAGATTAATTTTATAAAACAAAATAAGAGGAATATGTCATCGTAACTCGCAAGACATATCAACTTCTAAGTGTAAGAACCATCGCCAATACACCAACAGCTAGGTAGCCCCTGCCCCGAAGTTATATTAAAATTTTAAAGTTAAGCATGTCCCTCGTGGCAGAGCAAAGAATATACTTTAACAACAACCTGGAAGAAAAAAAAACAATTGAATTTCTACAATAAAATGTGTGCATATATATTCTGATGTCTGGTAATGTGATGCACAATAGCATTGAAATTGGAAAGGGACTTTACATGCAGAAAAGGAAAATAGGAAGAGCATAAAGCTAATTATTATACTCGTGAAACAAATTCGCAAAACATTGTTGCAGTTTATAGCTTCAAAAGATGAAATTTTACCAAACTCTGCTTCAGGGCCCCCACTATAGCATCTTCGTTGGCATCCAAAGACATAATAGGCCTTGCCAATGTCGGTAGGGCAGCTTCTATCTGGTAAAGACAAGAGAATAAATAACTGAATCAAATAACTTATTGCCAAGACCAAAAATAAAAATAAAAAAACCTGTTGAACGACCATGACTCGTTGACAATAATACAAATAGTTTCTCAAAATAACAAAGTTAAAAGTGATGAGCAACCAAAACGACTCCCTTAACTCCATAGGTCTCCCATCACAAAAAAGAAGTAGAAAAACCAAGTGATCAAAATAAAATCTACACTCATAACAATGCTAATACCATATGTCCACTGATATCAGTTCATACATTTCTGTAAATATATAAAACGATAACCAGAGAGTATAATGTAATTCGCACTCCACATTCTTCATTTGCACTCCACGCACTTTTGTTTAGAAAAGAAAACGGCACAATTACCCATTAAAAAAATTCACTCCACAATTATTTGAAAAAGTATAATTGCGCTCCACTTTTGAGGGGTAGTTTTGCCATTTCATTTATTAATCAAGTGGAAAAAAAAGAGTGTTAATATCATCTCCCAAACAGAAAAATACAAAAAATAAAAATAAAAATAATTTAAATTATCACCATGTATTTAACATATTTATTAATGTTGAAACAAATCTCATCATTTCATAAAAAATCATGTTTAGCTACACAAAAAGATTGTCCTATAAGGCATATATCATTAATGACCGGTCATCAAACTTTAATATCCACCAAACAAGACAAAATAACATAAACAATTCAATACATAAAACATACCGGACGGCGATCAAGGATTGACATGAGAGCTGTATGATCTCTCACTGAACGCTCAATACGGGCATCACTTTCTCCAGCTTGCTTCAAATTTGCTGCAAATCTATTTAACCTGTCCTGCAAGTTCTTTGTTAAAGTACTGGACTGTGGCCTAGTCCACCGTGTACCAAATTGGCTCCTAAACTGAGCATCTTCTCTCGCTTCTTTCTGCAAGAGTTCCTCTGTCTGGACCAGCAATTCCTGATTCACCCTCTTCAAATCTCTAACTTGCTGCAGCTCAGCTTCCAAACCAGATGGGCCCCCACAAATTTGCACTGCCTCCACATCTTCTTTAAGAGTTGTAGGAAGGGTAAAGTTCCCTTCCAAAGCAAGAATTGAATCAGGCAAGTCCATTTCCTTGAGCCTCACTCGGGTTAGCTCACTCCCTTGTTGCAATTTCTCAGCTTGTGTTCGGATAACGTCATCAACCATTTCAGTGTATCTAGAAAGAGCTTTTGCACTGCTGTCAGGAACAAGACTTGAAAACATCTTCTCCTTGCTTGCATCCAACACCTCACCCATTGCCAGAGCCTTAACCAATGAAACTGTTGGAAGAGGCGCTAAAGAGCTGGCCGCAGGAACTCTCATTAGGTAAACTCTATCATTCTCCTTCATAGCTCTCTCCAGGTTTCGATTTAGAGTGGCTTCCAACTTATTCATTGCATCCAAAAGCTGCTGTGCAGCCCCCTTTGAGGATGATTTCTTTGCCTCAGATAAAGCACCAATTCCACTCTTCAAGCGTGCAATTTCCTCAGCAATCTCTTCTTTCTCATGCAGCTCTAAACTATATCTATAGCATGCCTCGGCATAAAACACGGCCACCTTGAGCTGCACATGAGTTATCCATGCCTTGTCAAAATGCTGGCTGAGAGGTGCAACATTCAGCGCTGCCAAAGCTTCCTCATAATAGAGTCCAACCTGTGATCACACACATTTTGGATATAATTAAATTTAGGTTATAACCAAACAAAAATCATATAAATGAATGAAATCATAACTGGGAACGGAATCACTTGCGCCATGCAACAAAAGACTACAAAAATGCTAAACTTATCATTTATGATTCATTTTGCATTTCTTATAAGAGTCATTCCTGGTGTCCCATGAAACAATGAATTCTATTAAACAAATCTTGGGATATTATTACTTTCACCACAAATTCCAAATCTTTTGTCACAGTTCAGCTAAGCAACAACTTTTACAACAGTAATCAATGGGCAAAATAATGTTATATGACCATGAGTTATATGGATTCCATGGAAAAGTCATGGATTTTTACAGAAAATTTGTGTGTAATCATCATATTTCATCACATAGTATGGCATAAATTCACGGGTTCACAAGCTGAAGAAAATTTAAAACAAATAACAGACTACAATGCAAAACAATAAGTACTAACCTGCCTACAGATTTTTGCACAGAGACCAGGGGTGCTTCCCTTGGCAATTGTATTCTCAAACACACATTCCTGCGCTTGCGCCAGCATAAGCCTCTCCAACATCCCCGCACACTCAACCGAAACATCCACAGTCGTGGAACTCCCCATGGACGCCTTCGTGGACGCATTGTCCCTCAAAAACGCAAATGCCCCGGCGGCCGCCATAAACGAGTGCGACCCCTGTTTCCTCCCCTCTATGGAGGACCGGTCGAAGGACAACCCAATCTGACTGTGCACCGCGCCGAGATTGAACAACACGGCAGCTTTCTCCAAGTGTATGTTCTGCTGCGAGGCCTTCTGCTTGTTCTTGAATGCGTCGTGCCAAGTGAACGTGATGGCGTTGACGTGGTCCTTATCGGGTGAGATCGGGAACCTAGACTCGACCGCGCAGAGGGCTTTGTAGTAATTTTGGAGGAGGTCGCGGCGGGCAGTGAGGGAGTCGGCGGTGGTGCGTTCGAGATCGGCGCGCATTTGCTTTAGGGTTTGGAGATCGTCTTCGAGGTTTTGGGCCTCGCGTTCGGAGTAATTGAAGACGATGTAGTTGCGGAGGGGACGGTAGAGATCCACTGACACGGTCTTCTTCTCGTAGATGGCAAGCATGATGTTCGTGGCGGACGAAGACGTCGGAGCCGCCATGATCGGAGATTTGGTGAATCAGAGAGCTGAGAATCGAATTGAGATTGACGAAAAAAAAAATGAGATCGATAACGATGAGGTTGATTAACAAGAGAGTCAGAATCCGATAGTCAAATGTAATCGATTTTCTCTCACAAATTCCAACGCCTTATATACGTTCATATACATATATGTTTATAATACATATAATTAAACTTTCTTATAAAAAATATATTTGCTAAAAAAAAAATATCAGTCTAATATGTTACCATGTACGTAGTACAATGTAATTTTTTTTTTTTTTTTTTAATTTTTTGCTTAGCTAGAAAGAAAAACTATCAAAAGATATGTTTTGACAATTATGCCTCGAAAATGTTTGTGGGCATATTTGTGGTGCCCACCAACTTTAAAGGGTTGTTTGGTTACACATATAAAGCTAAGTTCAATGCTCCATGTTCTAAATATAAAGCTAATATCATCGTATTAGGAAAGCGCGTAAATCTTTATCTGTTTTTTATTTTTTATCAAGTTAAAAGATAACAAATATATCGAGCGTATCATGAGGAGGGGGTTATTTTATGACTTATTTAATGGGAAATAATTTTTTTTGAATAGCATTCTCTTATGTAGAATCTTAAAAGTACTCTTACGAAAGACTCTTGTAACAATATATATAAGAACACATCGTAATTATTTATGTTAATACGTATTCAACACAAACTGTTGTGATATGCCTAGTACATTGTTGAACACACCGAATACCTACTCCTCTTGTGTTATTATGCCGCCTTGTAATTGAACCGTGCTTGTTCTTCTGATTTGATTAATGATACAGTACTTGAGCAAGGGAGAGCTTATTTTTGGCCTCGAATGTGGGAGATGGTATTTAAGTCCAAAATTGAACACTTCATTTGAAGATGTATGGTAGAGTCCCAAGGTCTCCACTAATTGTCTATGCAAGGTGTGGGTTGCAAATGGAGACTTTGAAACACATTCTCTCGGAATTTTGGGAATTTTACAATATTGTAATTTAGTGGTATTTCTTTATCTTTTGAATTTAAGTCCTCGTAAAAGCAAAATAGATGTGTAAGTTTCTTGCTAAGGTAAAATAAAAATAAAGAATTTTCACCTTTTTCTATCTTATTTTGAGGGAGAAAAAATGGTCCTAACAAAATCTTTGAAAATGAAATTTTATCAACGAGTGATCTTTTCCAATTAAGGTACATAATTTGTGAGTGTGTCCAATGTTGAGATTGTTCCCCTTTTGCTCTTAGTTTTTTATTCTTTTGTGATTGATAAATTAAATAGATAAATTGTAAATGGCATTTAAAGAAAGCCCATTCTTGGAAAAGCCTCGTGGAGTAGTGTTTTAAATCAACTTTGAAAAAATAAAATAAGTTCAGTCAAAGAAAACATATGATATCTCATTTTCTTTTTAAGTGAAAACATATGGTTAAGAAAACATATGATATCTCTTCAAAAACACTGTGAAAAAAAAAAAAAAATGGAAAAGACATTAGAGTCCCTTGTTATAAAATATTAAATATTGTCAGCCATCTTAGCCTTATTAATGTACTTTTAAAATTTCTGAACTTTTTATTTCTTTTGAGTGCAATTGTGGTTGGAATGTATGATTTGGGGCGCTTTCTCACCAATTTTAATTCTTTGTGAGTGTGACTACTTAGTACTATCTCAATACCATATTAATTGTCCAGTTCAAAAATTTTGACTCATAATTTTTGTGAGTCAAAATTACATAGGATACATCCAATATAGGATATAGGTAATATATAAATATATAAAAAGAATATGATTAAAAATGATCTCAAATGACTCAAAAATAAAATCTGGTAATGAGTCAAAATTTTTAAAATAGATCATTAATATAGTAAGAAAGTAGTATAATTTTGCTGTGAAAAAAAAATAAAATCAGAATAATTATTTCCGTTTTGGACTTGTCATCTCCAAATCACAACACAACACTAATTGAGATTTATTATAAACCTAGTCCCTTTACGCATCAAGATTTATATTTTCTTTTTGTTTTCCCAAAAAAAAGGAAATATTGGAAAACAAATTTCTCACGGTCAAACCGGTGAACCGGTTGGCGTTGATAATCGACACCGCGTTCAATAGCGTGGTACGCGTGCGTAACACGCATAAATTTGTAAACTTCACGCTCTCTATACGTATATAAACGAGTATATATATATATACACACACACACATATTGGTGAAGGTTCTAGAGAGAGAAGCCGAGAAGAGAAAGGTCGAGTCTTTAGCTAGAGGCGGCCATAGATCATCCTCACTATCTTCTCTTCTCCGAATTCCGAAGTCGCTCTCTTTCGATCTCTCTAATTACCAGGTATGACTTTTCAACCTTAATCTCTATTGATTTCTCAAGCTTGTTTAGTGATTTGAAGTAGATAATTTTTCGGTAGTCTCATTTTAAAAGAATTTTTGGGGGAAATTTTCAACGATTAATTTTTCTTCCAAAATTCGAGATTAGGGTTTGCTAGGCATCTTAGTTGGAGCTCAATTATTAGGGCTTTTGGTTGCATATTTGGTTGTTTGGCTTATATATATAGGAGTATGAAATTGTGTAGTTAGTTTTCTAGATCTATGGATCTGTTGTTCTGGTTCAATAGATGATGTTTCTGTGGTTTATTTGGTATAGAATTTATATTTAATTTTTTGCGGACATTTATTTCTGCTTATTGTATTTATTATACCTTTATCAAAAACAGTTTATGGGTTTAGAGTTTAGCTTTAAGAGTCTTAGACTTACCATTAGGGTTTTGCAGATTAATATGGGAAGTATTTCTATGAAGAAAAAAAAAAAAAAAAAAAACCTTTGTTTTTGGTGGAAACATGTCTATCTAATACATCCTTTTTATGGCAACTTATCCTATTTTATCTTTTGCAGAACTTGATTAAAGAAGGTGCGGTAGAAAGGCTTTTGTAAGTTTAGACTTTAAAGATAGTTGTGGTTTTGGACTTGTGGATTCTCTGTATAAGGTAAGAAAGCTGAATCAGATATCTTCTTGCCTTTGCTTGTTGATGATAAAGCTGATTTTTTTTCTCTCACTGCAAGTATCTTGTGAATGTATCTGAATTATGCTCCTTTTGAAGAATTTTCTTTATTTAATTCATCGAATAAAAGGTGGAACTACTAGTATTGTAGTCAATAGGAAGAGAATCTGAACGTCTTAAAAACCTATAGGAGTATGCACGGAGTTGCTGAAACTGTGAAGTATGTGTGTCAGATGATTTAGCCGCAGTTTGTTAAATTTTAGCACGCTCTTGTCAACCTTTTAATATGTACTACAAATATTGACTAGTACTGTTTGCAATAGAAATAAGCACAACCATCTTAGTTTGGCATCTCTCTCAACATGGTAACCTTTTTTATTATTATTAGGATTTTACGAGCAGTAAGGTACCTTAACTATTAAACATAGCGGAGGCTTTGCAATGTTGTAAAAACTATGGGATGAGTGTATGGCATTAAAAAGAGCTCCAAGGCAAGAAGAAAAAATGTTGTAAACAAATTCTCCTCCAGCTAATGTTCGAGTATTTGTGAACCTAAACCATGTTTAAAGATCACCCTTGTCAACCATTTATGAGGCATTTATGAGTAATTCATTTACATATTTAATGGATGGAAGAGGAATCCCGTTTACATCGCTTATGTGTTAATTCAAAAGTTAAATTAGTTTCGTCTTCCATGGTGGTTAATCAGTACAAGCACAGCTGGCTTCCTGTATATTAATTACCAGGATTGAAATGATAAAATTATGAAATGGTGTAACTGCTTTTTTGGGTTTCTCAAACCTAAACTAATGCATACACAAAAACTGTTGTTATTTCAATGGAACGAACCTGAAATACAATCAATTTTTCTTAATGCTTGACATTATTTATATAAAGCACCCAATGCCCTTACGTTACCCTTCTGTCTCCCAACAATGATGTGGGATTATGAAATAGGAATGTTTTAGGGGTTTAAATATGAAGGAATTAGAAATATATATCAAACATTATAAACAAACCAAACAGATGATGGGGCACGAAAGTTCTATTTGGTTGCTATCTTTTTTTACTCTTATATTGGAATTCTGTAGTTTTTATTCTTGATATGGGAAGCAAAATCTTGATTTTGGTATACAAATTTCAACTTTTTTCTATGTAGGATAATGAGCACCAATAAGATTTTCTCTCTCTTTGATCACCATAGTTGATACACCATTTTATATTAAAGCTTTTCTCCTCGATATTATTTGCATTACTTCCTTTTTACCGCAAATATGTTCATTATTATTGTGGATTATGATGATTGAAGAACTAACATTGTTACCTTCTCTTCTTCGAGATGCACTTTCGGTCATCATCATACCAAAATGCAGATATTGAGTTGGTTTTCTTATCCAAATGGACTGCAAGAAGTTTATCCAAATGGTCGAGGACAAAAGGAAGAGAGCTCTGGAGAAGAAAGAAGCCCCCTTGAAATGGGAGCAGAAGCTTGAATCTGCTGCCAAGGCCAAAGCTGATGCCGAAGCCAGAGAGAGGAAGCTGAGGGCTGCTAAGCATAAGAGAGGATCTGTATCAGATTATGATAGTGAGAGTGACAGTGAGAGCGGTGGTGATGGGAGAAAGACATCTAAGAGGTCTCTCAAAAAGCACAAGAAGCACGGCCCTTCTGACTCAGGTGACAGTGAGAAGAGGAAGGAGAAGAAATCCAAGCGAAAACTGAAGAAACGATCCTCCGGCTCAAGTGACTATAGCAGCGATGAACATGGAAGTGGCTCAGAGGAAGAGAGGAAGAGAAAGAAGCGGGTCCACAAGAAGCATAGACATCATGATTCAAGCTCCAACTCCAGTGCTACTGATTTTTCAGCTGACGAGGATGATGGCCGTATCAGAAGAAAAAGTCACGCAAGACGTCACAAACATCATCGACGGTCACATTCTAGTGGTTCAGATCCTTCAGGTGATGAAGATGAGGGTGCTATTAGAAGGAGCACTCATGCAAAGCATCACAAACATCACAGGCGTTCAACAGATTCTTCAAGTGATGAGGATGACACCACTCTCAAAAGGAAGAGGCACGCAAAGCATCGTAAACATCACCAACGACGATCTCATAGTCATGACTCGAAGTCCTCAGATTCTGATTACCTTAGATGTGATCAGAGGATTCGATCTTTAAGAAAGGCATCTGATGACAACGATGAGGAATCAGATAGAAGAGTAAGGCATAAAAGCAGTCATCACCATCATCACAACCATCATCACAATCATCATCGCCACAACCCAGAGGAAACTCAGGAGGGGAATGACCAGTATAGGCAGACAATGGAACCAAACGGAAAGTATTTAGAGCACTCACCTAAGAATGCAAAGGAAAGCAAGCATAATGGCGCTCGTGATGTTCACAACTCTTAATTTAATGTGACTGAACTGACTGCTTTTCTACCGCGCTTTATTATGGTTTACGCTACATTAGGAAAACTATAATGTGAGCAAAATGTACCCTTTAATTAGCCCTGAATTCAGAGGGAGTCTTGTTATTGTCATTGGTTAGAGAACTTATCTCCGAACTCTCTTGTTGAAGGCCCCAATTGTATTGGAATGCGTTTTAGTTCAAGTGTCTTTTGCAGGCTTTTTGTTATCTTGTTTATTGGTGAGCTCTTAATGATGATGATACATTGGTGACTATTGCTTGAACCCATTGGAGGATTTTATTATTGTTCTTTTACACTGAAATGCACTGGTTGTTGCCTCGTGAGCGTCAGGTGTACTTCACTGGAAAAATAAATGCAACAGGATGCACTGTTTTGAGGTGCCAAACCATTTGAATTTAATGAGTTAAAAGATTGTTTTATTTCTTGGAATTTGAAAAGGGACTTTGTCAAATCACACCCATCGCCCTTTTGTTTTTTTTTTTTTGACAAATTACTAACCAGTGAATTTAACTATCCCATGCTATTTAGAACCTTAAATTAGTTGTTACATTGGAAAAGTCAAATCAAAATAAAACTATCTTTTCATTATTACCCTTTAAATTTTTAGAAATCTTCCAATTTGATAACATACATAATTAAACTTGACAATTTAGTAATTTTGAAAAGAGAGAATGCATTAATTACTTGACAATTTAATAATTTTAAAAAGAGATAATGCATTAATTATATGTCTGACATGTTAAAAAGATTTAGGATAAATTGTATTGACACCCCCTGAGGTTTTGGTTAATGTCACTTAGATGCGGGTCAACGACTTTTTTAACAATGACATCATACCTGAAAAATAACCAACTTGCCCTTTTTAGTTTTGAATATTCAAATTTGAAATTTTAAACTCAAACAACATATATGGGAACATATATGAAAAGATGTGAAATATATTATTTGAAAAAGGAAAGCAGACTATTATTTTGGGACAGACAAAAAAGAAAAGCATGACACTTATTTTGAGACGGAGGGAGTATAGTCATGTTAATTGACAAAACTACCCTCATCATTAATTTTTTTTTTTTGTTCATTTTTTTTTTTTCTTGTGATGGGTCTGGGCTAGCTATGGCTATTTTTAATTTTCTTTTCCTTTTTTTTTTTTTTTTTTTTATGTTGCGGTAGTTTATTTTATTTTATTTATTTTTGTAGAGTTATCTAGCTATTTCAAAAAAAAAAAAAATTAATTTTCTTTTTTATTTTTATGTTGTGGTGGTGGTTATGGTAGTATTAGTATTATTATATATAAACCTTATCTATATGTGTAGAAGAGATGAAGAATTTAGTTTAGTCCATTAAATTTAGTTAAGATGTTAAATTTGTAATTTTATGATTTAAATGGAGTTGTAGACAAAGGTTAAAAGATAATTTGATATGATTTCAGGGAGAATGTTAATGCACATCTTTTAAACCTCCGAAGGTGTCAATGTAAAAAAACTATTAACAGTCCGTTGAGTTACGTTAACCAGAACCTCATAAGGTGGCAAGGCAATTTACCCAAAAATTATATATCAAAGATTGACATCTAATCAATCTAATATCAGAGGAGGGAGTATATATTTGCAGGGACCTCAAACCAAATGGGTTTATAATGTATTACTACATAGAAGGCACAAATCCTAGAGCTCTTGATGACTGACCAGATTAGGAAACTACTAAATTCCACTGGAAAAAGACAACCATGTGTAGACTATTAAAAGGTAATATATCCATTCACGAGTATGAGTAAAACATTAGAGAAACAACCAGAATTGAAGGCAAATTGAGCAATCTTCTGGAAGCAAATTCATAGGCAAGATCATATGCCACCAAGTCATTAAAAATTCTGAAAAGAAATTCATTGAAAAATATACATGTCCACTTGTTTCTCCTCCTTATTAGATGCCAAAGACAAAACACAAAGGTTGGCTGGGATGACTAAGGCTTTCATTCTCTATCACAATCCTGCAAAGGAGATACACGGATGCAAAATCCCGATACATTGGGTCTCAGAAAAAATACAACTCCATTATGCTGGCATCAACCAACACAAACTAAATTATTGATTTTCGCAATTATCGGAAGGGAAACAAGAAACGATAATATAATTTGATTATGCTGCAGATTCCTTGGCAATCTTCTCTGCCTTGGCTATGACCTCTTCAATTCCTCCAACCATGTAAAACGACTGTTCCGAAAGGTCATCATATTTTCCATCCAAGACTCCCTGTTTAAAATCAAGGGAAAGACGATGGCACCAATGCATCAATTTCACGTATAATGTCGAACAAGAAATAAGAAATTTAAATTCAAAGTAAAACAATAAGAAAAAGGAAGCAGTAGTTCAAAATATTATCACACTTTAAAGACACACCCCCCTTTGGCAAGCACCAAATTAGATGATCATTAACACTGCAACATGTGCATGGAACATTGTGAAAACAAGAAAAACCAAGAAGTTTGAAGCATAATTATTTCAAAATAAGTGCCTGACTAGAATTCAAGTTAAAATTTGCATGAATTTCATCAAATATATATTAAGCACTTCCGCATGAACTATGATGAAAAGATAAACAAATATAGATTTCTTCCCTTTTCTTTTGGCAACCCTAAAACAACACTTGCTCGAAATGAGCAGGAGCTAACTTTCAATTGATTTTAAATAGTCCCATCGAACGGAAATAAATTTGCAAGCTTTAAATTGTAAGGAAAGTGAGAGTTCAAAATGTTAACAAAAGTGACGATAACCATTCAATGTGATTTTATTTACTTATTGTTATTATTATTATTATTATTATAAGCAACCATTCAAAGTGATTGTTACAAAAAGAAAGTAGAAATTCCTACAAAGTTGATAGTTTGGTTACTTTGGTACCTTGGAAGGTAAATCTAAGTCCAAGCTATAAAACGCAAGCATTAATGGAGAACTTTCATGCCTTCATGAATCACATTTATGTATTCACACTACATCTCAAGTTATATATTACCTTCTTGCACACATGAAAATACAAAATATGGGAAAGAGAATGGCAATATAAAATGAAAAATTGAGTAACCAATACACCAATTGCAAACAGCTTATAATTTACCTGGAAACTGGCAATGCTCTCCTTCAAATCAACATACTTGCCAGGGGCACCAGTGAACACTTCTGCAACATGGAAAGGCTGGCTCAAGAAACGTTGAATTTTACGAGCACGGGCAACAATCAATTTGTCATCTTCACTTAATTCATCCATTCCCAGAATAGCAATAATATCTTGAAGATTCTTGTAGTCCTGAAGAAGTTTCTGTACTCCACGAGCAGTATTGTAGTGGTCCTCTCCTAAAATGTGAGGAGAGAGCATACGAGATGTAGAATCAAGAGGATCGACAGCAGGATAAATACCAAGCTCAGAGATCTGCTCAACAACAGAAAAATCATCAAAGTTGAAATGGGTAACAGAAATGGTAACAATTCCCATAATTACATCAAAACATAGAAGAATAAATTAGGGGAAAAACCATAAATGAATACCTGTCGGGATAGCACAGTCGTGGCATCCAAGTGAGCAAAAGTGGTAGCAGGAGCAGGATCCGTCAAGTCATCAGCTGGCACATAAATAGCTTGGACAGATGTGATGGAACCTTTCTTAGTTGTAGTGATACGCTCTTGAAGGCCTCCAAGATCTGTAGCCAAAGTAGGTTGGTAACCGACAGCAGATGGAATACGACCAAGCAAAGCAGACACCTCAGAGTTAGCCTGCATGATTCAAAGAAAGAATACAAACAAATGATGATATTAGCAAAATTGTCATGCACTATAAGTTATAATTTTTCAAAATTCTCCATGAGATGTAAGCTACCTGAGTAAAGCGGAAAATGTTATCAATGAAGAGAAGCACATCTTGCCCTTCAGCATCTCTGAAGTACTCAGCCACAGTCAACCCAGTAAGCCCAACACGAGCACGAGCACCGGGGGGCTCATTCATTTGACCATACACAAGAGCACATTTGCTCTCACTCTAAAATAATGGAAACAAGACATTGTTATTAAACCAGAAACACACGTGGAATATAATAAAGCAACAGAAAAAAAAATGTTGTATCACCTGCTTATCGCCAAGCTTAATGACACCACTCTCAATCATTTCTCTGTACAAATCATTACCCTCTCGAGTACGCTCTCCAACACCAGCAAATACAGAGAAACCACCTGGGCGAAGAACAAACAGCAAAAATAAATAAGCTGACTCTTAAGCAAATTGGGGACATGAAATGCATACAAGTATCAACCAACCATGGGCTTTTGCAATATTGTTAATAAGTTCCATAATAAGCACTGTTTTTCCTACACCAGCACCACCAAATAGACCAATCTTTCCACCTCTCTGGTATGGCGCAAGGAGATCAACCACCTACAGAAGGATTGAATTGAGTAAATCTGTGTACATGAGTTGAAAATCAAATATTGATAGCTAAGGATTAATATAACCTATCACATATCCAAGAAAAATGAAAAGCATACCCAAAAAGAGAACCCTAAACTGATAAGATACCTTGATTCCAGTAACAAGGATCTGTTGTTCAGTCGCTTGCTCGACGAAAGATGGAGCTTCTCGATGAATGGGCAAAAAGTGGTCGGTTTCTGTTGCAGTATTTTCATCAAAATTGTGAGAAATCTTCCTAATGAACATAGATCACACATAATGATCCGCTATCTGACAACTAACTCAAAATCTTAAACTATGAAGCATTAATTCACAAATCAATAAATTTATAATACTTCTATATTACTTACTAAAATCGCCTTTCTCATCAATAGGCTCTCCAATGACATTCATGATACGGCCAAGAGTGGTCCTACCAACAGGTACCTACCATCATAAGAAGAGAGCCCAGAATTATTGCTAGGAATAATAGGAACCCAAAATACAAAAGCAGCTCTAATTAGGACACAGTTGCATACTTAACCATTAAATGCGACATCACATACAAGACAAACCACATTGTTTCAGTATATTAATTCCAATCCACAAAAATATATAATCACACCGGCCTGGCAGATGCACTTCATAGGATAGGTTTTCTGTTTCGAAAAACAATAAACTAGAAAACAAAGATATACTCCCCCCGTCCCAAAATAAGTGTCCTACTTTCCTTTTTTGGCTGTCCCAAAATAAGTGTCATACTTCAAAATCCAATACACTATTTTTTGAATATTCCTAATATACCCTTTGTCTTGAAATTATAAAAGAAATTAAAACTTCTAAAAAAGCTATTGTGGACCCCACAATTCAAATTTGAAAGTTCACTTTTGTACCATACTCAAAAATTGCTACAAGGGCATATTAGGAAATTCATCTCATACTACTATAAAAAAAATCTTAAAAAACAATTCTCTTAAAAAGTTGTATTCCCCAAAAGCGACACTCTTTGCGGGACGGAGGGAGTATATAATGATTTTTTTATTTTTTTTTGAAAAATAAATGATTGTGGAGCATGAACCAGATAGATTTAGAATAAAAGCTACAAAAAAAAGGTGCTCTAAAAATACTTTGGATCTGGGATTCACTTCAAATGGCTGAAAGCAAAGTTATTGTATAATCAGGGCCCAGAAATGGAATGCTTAGGAGAAACCTAAAATTAGAGTATGGCTTGTTGAGCATTCTGAAAATATTATTTTTGCTTTCTTGAACGAAATCCATAACCAGATTGGTTTCCTAAAGCAATTATAGCACTTTCAAAATGCGAATATACCATGCCAACAATATGTTGGGCTTGTGGGTATCCAACCCAAAAGGTTAACCTATTAGGTGGAGTGACCCTTGCCCCATGTAAGTCCCAGATTTCCTTATTTTCTAACCGATTTGGGACTCGTTCAACTACCCAACACAATATAACATACCAGAAATGTAAAGTTTTACCCAGCATCATCATAGAATGTAACATACATATATAAAAAGGTACAGATTCACACTGACACGGATATATACATCTCGAAGGTTATTATCCAATTAAGCCCTTCCATAACCATATTATTAGATCTTAGGGCAATAGTTAGATCTCCCCATTCATAACAAGAAAATCGTCGTAATACAACAATACACTAAACGAGAACTTCGTCAGAGCCCCAAAATCATCAACATTTCTCATAAATTTCACTTTAAAAAAAATAATAAAATAAATAAATAAACATTTCTCATAAATTCTCAACAAATCAATACCACAATCTTCATTAGATCGAAGAATAATAGCTTACAGTGATGGGCGAACCAGTGTTGAGAACTTTCTGCCCACGCACAAGCCCTTCGGTACCATCCATGGCAATGGTCCTCACCACGCTCTCTCCCAAATGCTGTGCAACCTCCAACACCAGCCGGATCGAGTTGTCCAGGACCTCCAGCGCCGTCAGGATCGGCGGAAGCCCCCCATCGAACCTCACGTCAACGACAGCTCCGATAACCTGGCACACCTTCCCGATGGAGCCGGCTCCAGTGAATTCGTCATGGATCTTGCCACTGAGGCCACTGCTACTCAAAAATGGAGGGGCCGGAGGCTGCGACTGAGCTGGGGCGGAGGTGGCGAAGTCTACAGCTCGGTTGAGGAGGAAACCCTTGGGAGAAGGGCGATGCGAGGGAAAAGATGTGGGGCTTCTAGTGCTTCTGAATGGAGATTTGGAGGGTGATCGATGTAGAGATGATCGGAGGAGAGAGGCTAAAAGCCTCCGTGAAGCCATGGGTTAAGGTCTGATAGAGAGAGAAATGAAGAGAGAAATGGCGAGAGGAAGAGAGACTGCTAGGGTTTGTATGACTGTCTCTTACTCTATGGTCTATATCTATTGCTATTTAACCCGAAAATGGTAATTTGATGTCTTCTATTTTTTCCAACAAAAAATAAAAATAAAAAATCCGGCGCTATTCGCACACTAGCGCTTCGGTTCTAGCCTGGAAGGAATAGAAGTGCGACTCGGTTGGGCCAAAGGGTCAATCTGGGCCAATTGAACTCACTGGAGTATTTCTTAATCGAGCAAAATTTTAATAACAAATTAACAAACATAAAAAGTAATTATTCATTTTTCTTGGAAGTCTGTGAAATTTATCAACATCAAATATAAATGACCTTGGATATAATTTAAGTCTAAAAATGGTAATTATCAAAACAAATATAATAATTAAGGGTAAAATTTGGTGGTTGGTGGCTAGATAAGTACAAAATTTATTTGCACCAAACAAAATGACATTTGTATATAATTCAATTCTTTTTAGTAGTTACCAAAATATAATTCAAACTTTTGTGATTTAGACTCTAAAAAAAAAAGTCAAAACTTTATATTATTATTATTTTGGTTATAAATTTTGTATAATCAGTTACAATAATTTTACTTAAACTTTGGAGCAATTGTGTCACAAATTTTACTTACATTTATCTTTTGATTACTCTCTTGTGCCAAAATTCTTTGTCCATTTTTTTATTTTAGGAGTATTCTTTATTTTGTCTTATTATTTTAATAATGATAAATTTAAAAATTCACCCACTACCGTAAAGCACCCCTAAATGATACTATTTATATCACTTTCACCCACTATTTTAAAATGTGTTCTATTCTTAAAAAAAATAGCAAAAGCATCCCTCAATTTACTTTTTAGAGTGATTTGACATAAAGTAATATTTTAATGACCGTTTTGCCAGCTTATCCTTTTACCTATAAAAAAAAAATTGACCGTTTTACCTTTTTTACTCTTCTGAAAATGTTTAAGGAAGTATGTATGCAAATAATCTTATAATAGAGGCGTGTTATCAGTTATGTGCATATTAATTATATTTAACCCACTTTTAAGGATTTTCTTTCACCTTTAAAAAAAAAATTCATTATATATTTCCTAGTATTATATTATCTCTCTTTGAGTTGATTATTTTACATTTCCTATGACTTAATGCCACTCCTAGGTTAAAAAATTCTTGCCACTCCTAGGTTAAAAAATTCTAATAAATGTATTTCTTTTACTGGCAAATGAAGATAAACAAGATATCTATAAAATAATATGTGTTCTCACAGTTGTTAGATTAATGTACAATATCTTCAGTTCTTTTTATAATTATAAAAATAAAAATTATTCCCAATTAAAATTTACTATAATTTTCATTTTTCATTAAAATATAATTAAAAAATAAAAAATAACATATATTTAAATTTTAAAACTTTAGAATTTGCAATAAATTTTTGCAAGTATATATATATATATATATATATATATATATATATATATATATATATATATTTACATAGCAACAAATGGGTGTTCAATCTTTAGTGAAAAAAAAATGCATCACTGTTCTCTACTCCTTAAATTTTTACACACACAGATATATATATATATATTTACATAGCAACAAATGGGTGTTCAATCTTTAGTGAAAAAAAAATGCATCACTGTTCTCTACTCCTTAAATTTTTACACACACAGATATATATATATATAATTCATTACATGGCAACAAAATATTGTTGAATCTTTATTTTTAAAAAAATACAAAACAAATGGGTGTTCAATCATCCCCACCTAACGGATGTTTTTCGCACTTTACCCTACCTTAGGGGTGTTATTATTTTTCGTCATTTTTTTATTAAAAAAATTAATGTGTAAAATGTCTCTATAAGGGTAATTTAAACAAAGTCTATCTTAAATGTGTCAGGTGGGTCTTATATGCACAAATTGATATTTTATGGGTGTTTTTCATACATAAGGAGTGCAATATGCACCGTAAAAATACTACATGATTGTTTTCCGCACTTTACCAACATGTATTTAATATAATAAAATCTTGTAAAATGTCCAAAGAGATTTGGAGCAAGCTTGAAGTGACATACGAAGGCACTAATCGAGTCAAAGAAATAAGGAAAGGCATCATAGTTCATTTATATGAATTCTTTAAAATGAAATCGAATTAATCAATTTGTGATATATATGTTTACCCGATTTACTAACATCGTGAATGGATTAGATTATCAGGGCAAGACTTATGTTAGTAGTGATAATGTTCAAAAAATTCTTAGGTCTTTTTCAAAGAGTTAGGAACCAATTATGACCGCAATCCAAGAAGCAAAATATCTCACGAAGTTTACAATGAATAAGTATAATACCCCTAATTTTCATAGGCTTTATTTAAATGAATTGATTCATTATGTTTATTTAATTGTTTATATTAATGTTGAAATTATTATTTGATTCAAGCGTTTATGTAATTGTTTATTTAATTATGTGTTTAAATAGTTGCTTGTGATGTATTGTAATTATTTTTCATTAATTATTAGTCGTTTAGTTATTAGTTTGATTAATTGTTTATTTTATTTTAATTGGTATTGGTTGGACTAATGAGTTTAGATTAGTAGTTTGGGTTTGGAAAGAGAGGACTTTGATCATTTAAGGCCTAATTGGGTCGAAGACTTTAATCCCATGAAAGTGTATATATTTTATATAATTATATATGTGTATATATGTATATTTATTTTATGTGTATTATATAATTATATTAATTAGATTATTTAATTAGATTATTTTAGTCCTATTGTATCAGGAAGTTTGTTGACTTAGGAATTGTTTGTGTGTGTGTGTGTGTGTGTCACATATTGGAGGGGGCTTTGGCAAAAATGTGGGTTACAAAGGAGAGAAATAGAGGCGACACAGCGGGAGATTGTGAAGGGTTGAGAGAGCAAATAGAACCGAGAGCAAAGGAGAGAGATGGAGGTGCTCGGGTAATAACCGGACCAAAGAGAGTTGACGACGGCAACCAAAAAACTGCCAGCGTTAAAAGAAACGAACCGAAGGAGTAGTAACTGATTTTCGATCCGAAAATCACAAGGCGAGTTCTTTTATACTATTCTCCGTAGCACGTATAAACTCTATACCTTTTACTTGACTTTAGGATCTCAAAATAGAGAATTAAACATGCTTTAAGGTTGTAATTTGATCCGTATTGTATTTTATATACGTATATAGTATATCTATTGCTAAATATTGCAAATTAACGTGCTAAATCATTGTTTTAATTGTTAGAAATTTGTATTTATGATGAATATGAATTATGGAGGACATTTGGAACTTAGACACGTGATTTAGGACCCGAAATGACGAATTTACATACCCGAAAACCTACTGTCACAAACTAGTGCTTGAGCACTGGGATTTGTGCTCGAGCTCTGGGCAACGCTCGAGCTAGTGCTCGAGCACTAAGAATTTGTGCTTGAGCACTGGACAAAACTCAAGCACTAGAATGTTGTGCTCAAGCCTTAAGACTAGAATTTCATTAAAACTGCCATGAATAACTCAAAACCGACTTGAAAGGTCCCAATCATGTCCTGCCATAAACCTTAAACACATGAAATTGTATTATATTCTCATGCATCGAAATTTGATGGAAAAGATTAAATCAACTAATAAGTGTAAATTAATCTATTATGATATTTCGAATATGTAATTAAATGCATTGACTCGATTTATGATTATAATAATGTATGATGGTGTACTTATGATCTAAAAACATTATCTATAATTGTACTTATATGTTGTACCATTATTAAATATATTTTTATGCGATTTATGATTGATGTGATGGAATGTGTGAGCTGGCTAATAAGCTTAGTCTCTCTTATGTATTGTGTCATTATTATATATGGCTTTGATGATTGGATGAGTAGGTAGGCTGGCTAATAAGTCTAGACACACTACATTATGCCATTGTTAGATATGGCTTTGTGGATGATATTAAATTATATGTATATGTATGGCTTGATACGAGTTTGCAGTCTCGGGATTAGTGTTTAGGATTGAGGCATATATTACCAGATGGGATGTGTTACATGTATAGGAGATGTTTCTCGGTTAGAGCTTTGGGACACTTAGTTGCCTTGTGTGAGTTTATAGTGGTCGCCATATATTCCGGTTGAAGATTCATATACATAGTGACTACCATTATTGTGTATATGTATATATGGCTATATAGCTATGTTATGAGTTTTAGCTAGAGATGTATTGTTTATTGATTATCTGATTGGGTCGTAGTAGATAGGACTTGCTTGTGAGTTTAACCACTATTGTTATATTTTTCAGGTCCACGTCAATTCCAAACTTAGAGATTGTTTGTGCATATCAGAGAACATTCATCTTCACTCTTCCGGAGTTATTGACATAGAATACTATCTTTGTTTAGTTTATTCAGTAGACTTGGACATTATTATTTCAATTATGAAATTTTCAGGGGTTCTTGATTTATAGATTTTCGAGTTGTATTTTGGAGGTTTATTTTATTTATTGGATTTATTTGGAGTATTGGCATCAAATGATTTATTAATAATATTTTAGTTTTCTAGCCAGCATTATTATTTATTTATTTTATTTCCTTTTGTATTATGTTTTTGTTTATTATTAATCGTTTGATATCTCCTAATTTTTGGGTGAGGAATTGATCAACCGGCGCTTAAAAATTAAGAGGTACCACAATAAGCTATTTAACTCACCTTTAAAGGGTCACGAAGAGAAGCTACACTAAAGCTGTGTTTGGTATAATGGAAAAGAAAATAAATTATTACATTAGTTAGGAGAGAAAATAGAATAAAGAAAATGAGAGGACAGTGTTAATCATGTATCGTGTTTGGTTGATTAATGAAAGAAAATATATATATATATATATATATATATATATATATATATATATTAATCATGGGGAAAGTGTAATATTTCCAATTTTCTCCATTTTTCATTTTTCTGAAATTTTGTTGGTGCAAGGGCATTTTCGTCTTTTCACGTTTTTTGTACCGGACATCGTGGGGTGTGCCGG